AACAGTCATATCTAGAGACCTCAAAAACTACTCTAGCAAGGCCTTTAACCTAGAACTGGAGAGCCTGGACTGGTCAGATGAGCTCAGTGGTACACAAGTTGAAGAAACATGGCTTGGTTTCAAAAACAAATTCTCTGCAATACTCAATGATTTGGCCCCCCTAAGAACAACCAGGGTAAAAAATCGCGCTGAGCCGTGGATGCACTCCGGCATACTGACCGCCATTGAAAACCAGAGACAAAAATGCTCTGAGTTTCATAAAAGTCAGTCAATGCTTTCCAAAAGCACGAGCAGTGAACTCCAGGCCCACGTGACTGAACTAAAAATTGAAAGAAACAGACTAAGAAATGACGTAAGCTCCATGATCAAAACTGCCAAAAAGAATTTCATCAATGTCAAAACTGAGGAAAACAAAAATAAACCCCGTGAACTTTGGAAATTACTCAATAACCTTGGCTGCAGTAAAAAACTCAAAACGAGATTTTCTAACTTAAACATAAAGACAGATAACAGGCTCATCACAGACAAACTGGATGTGGCCAAGTACTTGAACATTTTTTTCACAAACATAGCCACAACTCTTGTAAATAAATTACCCTCCCACTCAGGGCTTTTTGGAGTAGATCACATCATGACCTACTACAAAAACCTAGGGGTACGCAAAGATGATTTCAGTCTAGCAAGGGTAACAACAGCAGAGGTACTCATTAAACTGAGCGCCCTCCAACCTAACAAGGCCACTGGCCACGACAATATCCCCTCCAAATTCCTCAGAGACACAGCAACCGCCATCTCACCAGTCATAGCTCACATAATTAACCTCTCCATAAAACAGGGAAAAGTACCCAAAGACTTCAAAATTGCAAGAGTAACCCCCCTGCACAAAAAGGGCAGCAAATTGGACCCAGGCAACTACCGCCCTGTTTCTATACTTACCTCCATCTCGAAAGTCATGGAAAAAATAGTATATGAACAGGTCGAAAAGTACCTCGCGGAAAAGAAACTAATCTATGAATTTCAATCTGGCTTTAGAACATCCCACTCCACTGACACATGCCTTCTTTATTTGAGCGACCACATCAAACAAGAGGTGGACGAGGGCAAGTACTGCGGCATGGTGATGCTGGACCTACAAAAGGCTTTCGACACTGTCAATCACCCCATTCTGATTGACAAGCTAAAAGCAATTGGTTTTGATAAACTATCGGTGAGCTGGATGCAATCCTACCTGGAGGGGAGAGAACAGATGGTGGAGGTAAACGGTACTCTGTCCCCCCCCCTCCCAGTGAGCTGTGGTGTTCCACAAGGAAGCATATTAGGTCCGTTACTGTTCCTAATTTATGTAAATGACATGTCATCAGCATGTGACTGCAACTTGTTCCTGTTCGCGGACGACTCAGCCCTGCTGGTCTCTGACAGGAACAGGTTGCAGGTTGAAAAAACCCTCAGCTCCGAGCTCGGCAGAATCTGCACCTGGCTCGCCGATAATAAATTATCATTACACCTGGGTAAAACAGAGTCCATTCTCTTCGGTTCGAAACATAATCTCAGCAAATCCGACGACTTCTCAGTTGCAGTGGGTGACATTATTGTCACAAGTAAGAAGGAAATTACATACCTAGGATCTATTCTTGAGGCAAACCTCTCCTGTGACAAAATGGCATCCAATGTAATAAAAAAAGTCAATCAAAGAACTAGATTCCTATACCGGATCTCCTCTCTGGTAAACAAAAACACCCTGAAAACTCTGGCAGGAGCACTCATTCAAGGGTACTATGACTATGCTTGCACGTCATGGTACCATAGCACTTCCAAGGCGCTAAAAATAAAACTTCAAACATCGCAAAATAAACTGGTCAGACTACTGCTTGACCTTTCATCTAGAACCCACCTCACCTCTGCCCACTTTGACAACCTAGGATGGCTTAGAGTAGATGACAGAGTACAGCTACTTGCAATGGGCCTGGTCTACAAGATCCACTACACCTCTATGGTACCCATGTACATGTCAAAATGATTCCCAAAGGTCAAGGAATACCATGATCATAACACCAGAGGGAGCTCCACAAATCATGTGAAACCCAGATTTGGCACAAAAAAGGGGGAATACACGTTTCGCAATTATGCCACATCAAGGTGGAACGCTCTTCCCACAACTGTAAAGGAAAGTAAAACTATACTTACCTTCAAAACCTCTCTTAAAGAGCACCTTCGGGGGAGAGCATTGCAAAACTGGCCCCGGTAATGGTACAAATCTCAACCTGTCGTTCAATGGACAGCTTCCCCCCCCCCCCATCTATGTATATACTCGCATTTTAGACTCTGTTACTAACTGTATATCTGTAGACTTGGTATGTCTTAAATGTCCGGTTAGGATGTATTAGAACGAAATCTAAAATGAAAATTGTAAACAAGCAATCTGTATGTAAAAAATCCACCTGTATGTAAATTGTAAATAAGCCATCTGTATGTCAAATATGTCTTAAATGATATGATGAATTGGAAATGGGGGACCCTGATGTAAACAAGACAAAAGTCTTTCTCTGGTCTGCATCCCCTTAACAATTGTATGTTTTGAGCTGTACTGTACTGTACCCAATATACAAGCTGTTAATAAACTTTTCAATCAATCAATCAATCAAAGACTGAATACACCATAAGTACACCGGATGCTTGAAACATAGCTGAATGGCCTTCAGTGTTTTTATGTTGGATCTATTACCTTTAGAAGTAATGCAGCAATACAGTAATGGCATAATTCCCTTTGGTTTAAGACATTGGAAAGGGCTGTATGGATAGTGAAAACGGACAATTAAAGTGTAAAACAATTATGTGAATGATAATATTACACAAGAGATGTAATGCAAATTAAAATATGATAATAGGCCTATATAGACTGAAAGATCGCAATGAGGTCATGCTCTCACAAATGCTTCTCGGAAATAAATATTAGGAGGTATAACGACATGAAGAGGAGTTTACATGCTACTGCATATTACACATTTTTAACTGACATTATAAAGTAAAATAAATAAGCTATTGGAGGTTATATGTAAGTATGCAAAAAGGGGAAAACGTCATGGAAGTGGACTGAGTTGTCAGCGATGTCACTTGTATATTCTGAACATACCCTTTTATGATATGGCTACAGATTCATACCAACTGCACCACAATTAATTTCAGTATATATATATATGTATGTATGTGCATGGATGGATCTATACATCAATGCATTCATTTAATCTCTTGTTTGATATGTGATATTGCAGGAATGCTTTCTTGTTAATTCAGTACCTGACGCAATGACAATAAAGGATTTATATTATATTCTATTATTGAAATGTCTGTCCACGACACAAAAGGCTATTAAGTTACTACTTTCTGAGGAGTTAAGGGGACTTCCAATGGGACATTATTGGTATCTGTCCCATTCTTCTGCCTGAGTTCTATGATGGGAAATTCAAAGGATTTGACTAGGTTCTGGGACATTCCAAAGAGTATCTTTTCTCTTTGAACAGATCCATTGGGACTGAGTTGCTTCCCTGAGGCCATGAGACAGAATGACCTATGATGGCTTTGATAAATGTGTTTTAGGACCTAATCTAAATGTGTGAAGTGTGCAGTTAAATGAGAAGAAGCTAAGTCATCTGAAAAACTGAAGGAAATTATACTGTTTTTCTTGGAAGTGACAAAGTCGCCAAAAAAGAAAGAAAGAGTATTACATGACCACATCTTTATTGTCCAATCCTATCTCGGTATCATCTTAACAGATTTGCTCTCATGGCAACCACCAATGTCTTACTGCAACATAACATTGTTTAGGCCATTGGTAGGATACAAATGGAGTCACTCCAACTCTTTGTACAAAACAAAAAAAACTTCCTCCTCCACTCTCAATTATAGTAGTCTTCTGAATGCTCTCAGCAAAGACCTTACCTGTAATATTAAATAAAACACAGCCAATGACAAGGAGAATGGGAAAGCAAACAATATGTGCTGGTCTTATTCTCGAGATGATCAGAAAGCATAGACCAGTTCAATTTCCTTTCAAATGCAAACATGTATTCAATTCAAACCTACAGTGGTAGTATGCGTACTCTCATGTGGAAGATAGTCTTAATGCTATGGGGAAAAAGAGAACCATTTTATTTCATTCTTAATGTGACTTAATGTTCATAGAAGAATTCATAGAAGTAGTACATGTACATCAATATGAGGCAAGTGATACATCCTCAATAATAATAATAATATGTTACATTTATAAAGCGCTTTTCCTGGTGCTCAAAGCGCTTACCAGCAAGTAAAACAAAAATAACAACAAAAGTAGAAAGTGCTAAGCTAGGAGGAATAAGGGCAAGGGGTTAGTTGATTAGGAGTTGAAGGCAAGAGTGAAAAGGTGAGTTTTAAGGGATTGTTTGAATGATGTGAGAGTGTTGGCGGATCTGACGTGGCTGGGGAGGGAGTTCCAGAGTGTGGGGGAGGCTGCTGCGAAGGCCGTGTCACCCCAGGTCCGGAGCTTTGTTCTGATGGGCTGCAGTAGGTTAGCTTCAGCAGACCTGAGGCGACGGGTGGGGTTGTGTCGTTGGATGAGGTCACAGAGGTAGGGGGGGGGGGGCAAGGTTGTTGACGGCTTTGAAAGTGAAAAGTAATATTTTAAAGTCAATGCGGTGTATTCATTCCAACTAATAGCTAAAGGGGTCTCATTCAATGATTTTCAGGCATCATCAATGTTCCGTAAATGTTCTCCTTTTTTCTATATGGAACCCTAATTAGATTTTTTGGGGGGTTTTCAATTTGTAAAAGGATAAAAGTGAGTATGCTTTACCCATATCAATAGTGTTTGATAAAATAAACTAATAATATGAAAATAAAATCAAACATAATCATCAAAAGGGTATGCTCTTCTCAGATTCACATCATAAATACTTTAGCTCCATGTCAGTGCCATAGGTAGACTTTAACAAAGATCAGTGGATGTAATTCTGAAAACTGTACTGCGCCTTTAAGGGGACCCGGAAGTGCTTATTAAACCGGAACTACAGACTTCCCAATGTGACCTACCTTGAAAACACTGTTATGATTTAATGCTGTCAGTTTGTAGTATAAAGCCTACGAAATGTTTCTAACAGCCGCAAATTGTGAGTATTTAAATGAATGACGTTGCGTGGATGCGTATGCAGTGCTATCCCAAACGTAGCTGAATGAACCAGTCAGTAACCCTAATGCTAGCTAACGTTAGCTGCTAGCTACCTCTCAATGTTAGTCAACACCAGCTAACGTGATTCTTTTACTTTGCTTCTGCTGACTTGGGTTTAACTGTTGTATTGACGCTTTTAATCTTAAGTGTTTTGAGTTGTATTATTGTGTTATGTAGCGGTTAACTTGAGTTAGTAAGAAGCTAACCATCTGTAAGCTAGTGTACTTGAACGGTAGCTAAATACATTCATACATACTATTGCTCTTTCTTACTTTATTGCTCTGACTGATTTAATAAATATCCTTTGTTCTTTTTCATTTCCCAGTGGCCAAGGCTAAATCAAAGTAAGTGGGAGCCATTTGAATTGTTAAACTAGTAAATGCAGTGTTATATCCTTAGGTTTAGTAAGGACATGCCCTGTACTTGCAGAGATAAGTGGACACATGTTGTTTCCCATCAGGACCGTCTTGGTGCAGATGATGAGCGCTGCAGGGACAGGCTTCTTCTTCAACACAAAGAGGGGCCGTCTCAAGGACAAAATGGTGATGCGCAAACATGATCCATTTGGTAAGATATGCAGATTAACATGCACACTGAACACCTTTTATTAAGCCTTAGTCACAGCCACTCAAAACGGCTGCTTGGGCTTTTAGTATGGCAACATAAGCACCTGTAGCAGGAGGTTAATCAATTCCAGATCATATCAAATAAAGTATTGGGATCCATTTTGTGAGAACCCCTCTAGGGGAGACCCTGCAAGGTTTTCATTTGGCAGACAGTGGTGGATTTGTGGAAGAAAACTGAAACATGCTTTGGAAATGCCTGCAGGCTGTGGGGTTATTTAAAAGCAGTGTTAAACTGTTACATGTTCATTACTTACATGGTGTAGTAAATGTTTGGTGGGGAGACCATTTAAGTGTGTCTTCATAGCTGTCATAAGTCAATACTATAGACCATTTTTGTGTTCAAACTAATCTCCTTACTATTTGCTAGCACACCTGTATAGAAAGGATTTAGAGTCAGGCTACAGACTGTTTTCGTAGGGACCATTATATATGTGTGGCAAGGAGACAATAACCGAGGAAGCCAATGATGTCTGTCTTTTGACGAAAATGCACACTCACATGTGAAAACGATGTTTGCAAACCGAGCCCCTGCACGGGTTCTGGGGGATCCGCCCCCAGAAGACTGTTCCTTTCTTTTGACATAATAAATAAAGCAAAACGAAACATTTACCTCAGACAAACAGGCCAAATAACAAGCGTGTGTTTGGGTCATTTTTGAGTCGGTAGAGTAAGGAGGAATTATTTTTATTTTTGAAGTGCCTGCGCCCTGCTGCTGCTGCACAGCGGGAGCAATGTTCTGCACACCTTGACACTAAACCAGTACTCTTGTTTATTACATCTCTTTGTGTACGCTATTTTCAGAACCTTTATAAGTTATACTTTTAAAAAGTGGTGTGGACAAAAATGGTCCCCAGCGTCCCCATCGCAGATGCAGTTCAAATATCATGATGAACTGTAACGTATTGTAAACAATAACCTGATATATATGGGGTTAATTATTAGAATCGATTAAATTGTTGATTTACAAAAAGGGACCAGACAGTTTGCTTTCTAAATCTAATTGTATTGTGCACTAAAACAAACCCATCCACATCCATTCTTATGATGTAGTCTTTGTATTGTTTTATCTCATCTCATTGTGTAACTTCAATGATTCTCGCCTTGAAATTCTTCAAAGTGTGTACATTTTAAATGCATATGTCAAGGTCTTGAGATTTCTGAATAGACATGGGTCATTAAAAGTGTTAGAATTTAGATATATTTCAGAATAGATTTGTACCTACAAAGCTTTTAATAGTCTGGCACCATCGTACCTAAAATATATTTGAATCCACTATTGCCCCTCTAGAACATCACGCTGCCAGGGTGCAGGTCTGTTAGTCGGGCCCAGAGTCCTCAAACCAGATCAGGAGTCAGAGCGTTCAGCCACCAAGCCCTTTCTCTGGAACCAACTTCCTCAGAGAGACAGACAGTGGCCGTTTCTCAATGTCGAGGAAGGCTGCTCCAGAGCCACTATTTCAAGCATACTACGTCATCGAGTCCCGCCGAAGGACTGTTCCAATGTCAAGCATCCTTGGAATTCTACCGAGGCCGGCGTACTTCGTAGCGATACATTTCGAGGCTGCACATGTGTAGACTCTGCGGTCTTAAAATCCCCACAATGCTTTGCGCACGGACCAATTTCCAAATCTTTGGTGGAAATTGCGCTCCATTTAAGGCGGGGCCTCGCATATGACGCACACTCGTTAGCCTGTTCCACTCTTTGTTTTCCGAGGCTAGGAAGGATTCTTGCCTCGCTTCTGAAGCAAGTGACTCGGAAGACGTGCTACCAAGCAAACGTCCTCAAAATTGAGAAACACCCAGTGTCCACACTTTTAAGAGTGCATTGAAGACCTTCCTAATTAACAAAGCCTTTAGTTAGAGCTGGCATTTTATGGTACTTTATTTGACTGTTTTATGTATTTTTATGATATTTTGTTCCATCTCATTTGTATTGGACACACTATCTTGTCTTTTAATTGTGCTGTAATTGTCTTGTTTTTAATCTGTTAAGCCCACTGAGATAATCATGTTTTGTGATATTGGGCTATAGAAATAAACGTTGATTTGATTTGGCAGGAATACAGACGGATGTTTTTTGAATATTTTCTTACTTTACGGTAGTTTTTCCACACATTGAAGCGTCTCTCTTTTTAATAGTTTTAAGCTTCTCTAAATCCTGGTAGTTCTGCATTTTTTATTTTTTTTAATGGCGTTAGAACTCTAACCTTATATGTTTTTCTTTATGTCTTCGCAGTGAACAAGCACGTGCTATTCTTCGAGAAGAGGAAGATCAAATCGATTTAATAAGCAGCCAAAATAAATGGACAACATGATCCTGCTCGATTTAAACTGACTTTTTTTTATTGACATGGATTACACAACATTTTTCCTCAGTCCACATTTCTGTTCTGCTGGATCTCGTGTGAACAGAGGGTCTCCTATGGGATCTGTCAAAAGGCCTCCACCCCCCCACTTCACCAGTGACGCAAGCCTGGCTGAACATCTTCAAGAAGGAACTACAACTCGTGTGTAAAAGTGATGCCATTAACCTGGGCTATGCAGTATCATTGATAACAGTTCAATAAGGTTTTTAGGACCTTTACACGTAAGCCAAGTACCTGAATCCAGCTGTTTGTGAAATATGAACTATTTGGACAAATTAAATACATTTAATCGACTTTGTGTATTACAAGCTATGTGTTAAGATGTTAATCAATTATTAAACGGTTTAAAACTATTGAGTTTCTCTTTTGTAAGTAGACTAACCAACATCACACATGCACTTTTGAAAGTAAAATGAATCGGCTTTATATAAAAAAAAAAAATTCCAAACAGGTCCATTTCAGACTTGTTACATTATCACTGGTGTTTACTGGCTGCTCTCAGAACAGTTCAGCTGGCAGGTGCTTTTTCAAGGGGTACGATGTCTGCGTGCCAACAGTCTGCACGCTCACTCCTGCCACCTGATTGGCTCTGCACGCCATCTCCTCCAGAGGCATTGTGGGATAATGGGCCATGTAAAATGCCAGCGCTCCAATAAAGCTGTCTCCAGCACCCTGTGAAGAAACAATATTACGAGTTTGCTTTATTAAATTCCACCTGCGGTTCAAACCGTCCCACTGTGTAACTCTACAGCTGCGCTCCTCAGCAGAATCATAACATCTTGAGTAGGCTGCAATGAGTGAGGAACAATAACAAACAGACGACCTGTGTGATAGTATGATCCATCTTTACTGTCGTACCACCCCAGACTGTATTGGAATGCTATGTAAATCAAACATGGGAAGTTAAGCATACATTCCAAACACATTCAACAGTAGGGGGTGCTGTAACATTTGTTGCTTCCTAAAGTCTTTTAAATGACTTACTGAACTGTTATGTAGTGTGAGAGTGTCTCAGTCAGCTCTTCAGAGAAACATCTCTATTACGTCCATTACTCATTCTTATAATGCCAGCAGAATGATAAATAAGTGGTCAAAAGCACATAAAAGACAATTGCTATATGGCATACTTAAAAAAAACAGAGTATTTTTTACCTGAATGACAAGAAAAGACCAGAAATATCAAGTGCATCATTTTGTGCTCAAATATTTAGAAATAAAGGAATTCTACAAAAAAAAGCCAAAATTGTTGCAAACAATTATATTTAAATTAATCAATTACATATATATATTAACAAATAAAACATTATGAAATACATTTTTACATATCAAAAACTGCACCAACCTAAACAAAATTCAAAATTCCTGCTTTTTTCAGCTGAACAGCACATGGCTGATTTAATCACTAAATGCTAACAGCTATCTGTTCAAATGCATAAACCATCAATTTTCACTCATCTATTGATAGAGATGGAATGTGCCGTCTACGCCCTGCAGGGAGGGGGGGTACTGATGGGAAAAGGCACCATGGTATGTGGCGACACGCTCATGTTTAACCACAAACTCCCCCCCTCAATGCTGGTTCTCACAAGCCCGCTCCATTACTCATCACTGCGGCTCTCAAAAGAGTTCATTGCACTCATCTATGAGCACCTCTGTTACACCCCCCCCCCCCTCACCCTCCGACCTCAAAGTAACCCTTGGGATGATTCAGTGACATGGGGCAAAAAAAGCCTAACACTGACCCCGACCTGGCTGGAAAAAAGACCCTGGGCCAAATAGGGTTCACAGTAGCTGGGCTTTTTCCCCAGCACCTAAACTGGTATTGGTACTGGTATGAAATTTCTTCGACTACATAGATACAAGCCATGTGAAAAAGAAAAAAAAAGAGGTCTGATTTGACATTTCAAAGGTCACTATTGCACCCCTCCCCCGCTGAACGCCCCTGGTGTGACTCCTGGGGAGATGCTGGAAAGAGTGAGATCAGAGCTGAAACATTTCACAGGCCTGGTGGTTTTCCATTTCTAAAGCCATGGTGTGTTTATGTCTCCTGTCTGGTAGCTGGGCTGGGCCAAATACAGGCCAGCGTTTAGAAACGAGGCTTTGGTGGAGCACTGGTTCGGCTCTTGAACGTCTCCCAGTTCACACGTTGTGGTTGAAACGGTAATAGCACTCTTGATGATTGGGAACCAATGACCAACGGAGAGCGGTCGAGCTATGGGGTTAATTTGATGCTGATAATCATTGTTTTTGCACGTGCCTCGTCCAATTTTCCTTTTTAACCAACTAATCCACCACCAAATCCCTGTCGGTACAACCACCTCTGTCTAGTCGCACTTCAAAAGGGTGGGGTCAGACAGGTTAAGAAAGCTAAATCTAGTAATAGGGCGTGTTGCTATAGTCAATATTTGTATACAGTTAACATTTAACAACTCTTATCTTAAAAAAATCTAAACATAACATTTTGGGTCAGAATTGCATTTCTATGGTTGACAGTATTTACATTAACACAATTTCTGATTTCTTATACAAGTAATTTCTTCTGGAGGAGATTACTAACATCAGTGCCTGTGTTGGGCCGCAACTTGTCCCTATGGTTGAACTGTTATTGAATACTTCATTTTGAAATGTAAATACCAGTCAGTATTGCAATTTCAAGTTGTGATATTTCAAAAAGCTTTTTAACCCTTTAGTATGTTTTTGTATTGTTCATAAAATCAGATTTTTCAGGAAAATACGTTTTTTCTTATTTTAAGCTCAAATTGGAATTGATCAGTCTTTAACAAATAATCAAGGCATTAAACACTTTAATTTATTAACCTAAAAAATATATATTATTGTGCAAAATGAAATTACCTAATGGACATTTTAAAGAAAGGTATTTGAATAGCATGTATTCAATTTGATAACATATTTCATCATCTTATTACACAAAACAAACACAATTGTAAATATTATGGCCTATTTTTGCTTCCATTATGATTTCTGTCCATCTAAATATGACTTATTTTCAAGTATGGACATTTGCACAGGAATTATGTATACATTATTCCTAATAAAATAAATTGTGGGTGGATTATTAAAAAAGCTGTAAGTGTAAAATGTAGTTTTGGCTGCTCAGTTATTTCAAATGACAGTCAAGGGCTTAAATTAAAATACAATGGAGCTACTTGTTTCTTTTGGAGTGAGCGGTGAGGGACTAATGGCGCATTTCCACTGCAGCGGGGTAGCCCCGTTTAAGCGTCCCTAAGCGTCCTCGCTCAGGCCTCGGGCTGCCTCGCTGGCCGTCCGAGGCCGTGGCGCATTTCCATTACAGTTTAGGACCTGGGGTAGCAACGCAGTGTAGGCGGGGCGATCGGCTTTGTTTTTGTTCACATTTCGAGTTGTTCCGTCGAGCTCCCGCTGGATTTGATCATCCCCAATGCGATGTAGGAACGTCGTCACCTCCTCGGTCGACCACGGTGTGCTTTTCTTATTAGACGTAGCCATTTTTGTAGCTCATCCGTTTACAAAATGCTGTTTATAAAAATGCTGCAAGCTTGCTTCTAAATATATATGCGACGCTAGGGATGAACTCGCGCGCAATCTTGTGACGATTCTCTCTGACCAATCAGCAGGCGAGAGTGTTGACGTCACTAGTTCAGCCCTGGCCCTGGTCTGATAGAACCACGATTTTATGGGGCCGGAAAAAGAGGGAGAAAGTACCCGCTAGCCGGTACTAGGCTATATGGAAAGGCCACCAAAAACTGGCCTGGCCGCTTGAGGACGGTTAAGGACGCTTAAACGGGGCTACCCGCTGCAGTGGAAATGCGCCATAACATGCCATGATTGAGGGCCAACGTAACACTGACATGTTATCTTCTATCTTGACGTGGTGAACTTGTTAGCAAAGTTTCCTTCTTGATTTTGCAAGAAAAAAATACTTCCTTATGTCTTTCAATGTCATTTCTTAGTGGGCCAATCCTGGTCTGAATAAGTACTGACGAAACAAGACCTTTACTGATCCAATGTACACTTTAGGTCACTTTACTGTACGGGCCACCCTCCAACCTCACTGTCTTACTAACGTCTCCTTCACAGAGACTGGCATGTGACGCTACTGGATCTAGTGCATGAAGCTTAACGGGGATGACAAGCACTGCCCCCTTCAGCACCGCCACCGCTGCCCTCGACACAGTTTGGTGAAGGTTAGATCTGGATGCCTGTCAATCAAGTGACACAAGCGTTTGCCGAGGATGAGCTGTGATGCTCTTTCTGGTCAACGCCGCCGTCCGCCGCGTCTTGGCCTCCGTACCGTTCCTCCGCCTCTCGTCATCCGGTACTCAGATGGAAGTTAGAAATTAGGATGGCAGATGTGTCTGCAAGAAGCTTGCCAAATTACTGAAGTTTGATTTAGGAAGTTGTCTACATTACATTACATGTTACTTGTTAAACGTTTTTATCCAAAGCGACTTACATACTCAATACTGTGGCCAATCCCCACAGGAGCAATTTGGGGTGAAGTGTCCCAGGGACACAACGACATGCTGACTGCAGTGGGGTTTGAACCTATGCTCCCCTGATCCGAACACCAATGCACTAGTCCACTGCGCCACGCGCATGCCATTGGAGGCAGTGTTGAAGTGTGACACTTCAATAAAACAGTCATCAGAGAGCCAGGAGCCTGCACAATTCAATTGATCAGAGTCTTCTTTGGACGATTTTACATGGTAACAAACTGTAACCATTGACCTTGGACGTATTGTACTGACAAACACAAGGGAGTATCCTTTTGAAATGCCTCTGACAGCCCCTTTCAATGTGAGTTCAGAAAAAGATTGAAGATAAACGGAATACTTCGCAAAAGCTGTAATAACCTCACTGGCTGTACAGACGAACAAAGGCACGCATACAGAAACTCAAAAGTCCATCAACACAAAATCCAAGGACAAAGACAATCGTAGCGCCCATACGCTCTGATTGACAAGTGAGCTTTGTAAAGTGTATTGCAGACACACCACATCTGAGCACCAAAGACAGACAAAAACAAATAAACGGAACTCATAGAAAATCCCAGAAAGGACTGCGCACAGCTTGTCTTTCATGATATGAGTCAGATGCGACTACTGAACCCTTGGAAGCCTCCAGAACCTGTGACTGTGTTTCTCACCCAGAAGCCTCCTGCGATCTTGACTCCCATGTGCCATTAACTCCTGAAGCCTGCAGCCATTGTCAATGTAAGGCACCCAGGGGAGAGCAAAGACCAACTGAGGGGCAGCGATGACTCACAGCAGCTTCCACGTCCGGAAGCAAGGGAACAGCCAGGGACGAGGGAAGAAGATTCAGAGATCAAAAACACGTTTCATTGGGCCAATTAAGGCTCTCTTATCTTTAATCCATCAGCAGTGCTTTGTCTTTGCCCTCTTTCACTGTGGTCGACATGACAGCACACTAACCCTAACCGAATATCTGGGTTGCTAAACAGCAGCTGCTGTAGCATATGCTTAACATTTTAAAATGGTGATGTGGCACTATTTCCCATGGTGCCCTACTGCTTGCAGGGTTGAGGAACGCGATGCTCAGAAGGCATCGGTTACCTTTAGCTTCCAGGAAGAAAAATCGTGCACATCTCCAGTCATAGGAGAGGACTTGAATTCATTTGATCCATCAGCAGTGCTTTGCCCTCTTTCACCGTGATCAACATGACTGCAGTAGCAGAGAACTGGCCAAACATCTGGGTTGCTTAACAGCAGCTGCTCTAGCATATGCAGACAATTTCAAATGGTGATGTGGCTCTTTTCTAGTGGTGTCAAGCTGACCTACGGCTTGCAGGGTTGGGGAACGCGATGCTCAGGAGGTATTCCCTTACCTTTGTCTTCCAGGAAGAAATTCAGGCAATTAGTCCAAGCACGTCTCCAGTCATAGGAGAAGACTGGGAATAATTTGAGTGTCCAGACCCACCGTGCAGCTGTAATGTCTGGTTTAGGCTTTGGCCCTACACAGTGGACCTCCCGGAGCAGTGGAAACCAAGGCCACCCAAGTCCTGCTGGGGCTAAAGGCACTGGCTCTGTGTGTGTGTGTGTGTGTGTGTGTGTGTGTGTGTGTGTGTGTGTGTGTGTGTGTGGTGTGTGTGTGTGTGTGTGTGTGTGTGTGTGTGGTGTGTGTGTGTGTGTGTGTGTGTGTGTGTGTGTGTGTGTGTGTGTGTGTGTGTGTGTGTGTGTGTGTGTGTGTGTGTGTGTGTGTGTGTGTGTGTGTGTGTGTGTGTGTTACAGTCTCTTCTTACTGTCCACACATCAACTGCCGAGGCTTTGATCTCAGCGAGGGAAGCCTGTACTCAATTTAACACTAAAGGGAGGCAAATGGATGAAAGGGGGGGAGACCTACAGTCGATGAGTTGATTCACTTTGTTATTCATCCAGATTCACGACCCTGACTCAGCACGTAATTGCTCGTGCCGTGTTAAAATGTGTTATTCCGACAGCTGCAGGAGGAGCAGATGATGAAATCGCAACAGTCATTAACCAAGCTATATCAATCAAAGAGAAGTACTCCATCTGGGACGGAAACAAGGGGATGAAACGCATCTTAATAGATGGCAGAAAAGGTGTTATCAGTAGTGGGTCATGCCATCCGCAGCCGAACAGTAGCCTAGCTTAAAACTGTGAGAAACTGCAAGTGACTCACTGCTGATATCGAAGAATTTGCAGCCTAGAAAGTGTCTGATACTAGTAAAACCAGAGAGCAAGAACAATCCTAGTGATGACAAGTCTGGAGCCCATCCCTCATAAACATTTCTGTCAACTGCTACTGCTAGAGAAAACACAAACAAAGCAGAAATAACAGAAGAGGCAAATCATAACTGAAGAGGCCTGTGTTACCAGAAACAACCTTGAAGACGTGAATAATGATCTTGATAACAACCTGTAGTTTTTTTCTCTCTCTCCGGTAGAAAAAAAAAGGTTTACTGGAAGAGGGATTATGATGTCCAAAAGAGTTAAACACTCCAGAATTTATGGGCCCATCAAAGAACAGAAGAGGTGGGGTGAGAGTGTGTGTGTGTGTGTTTGCGGGGGGACATGCAACAGGCCCCGACCACAGCTTTCTGCTGACTGATGCAAGCCCAAGAGGTGAGTCATGGGAGAGGAAGGGGGGGAGGATAGGGGTGGTGGGGTAAGTTCTCCTGGGGGCTACTGGGAAGGGGGGATTGGAGAGGGTGAATAAGGGCAGTTATGTGTGCCTGCTTGGAGATGAGGGGGCATGGAGGAGGTCGCACATCGTTCAAGAGAGCAGGCCCTTTGTTCTTCAAATGCCAACGTGACCTGGGATAAGGAGGATAAGCTGCACTGCTTTTAGATTATGTCTGAAAAATACACAATATATTCATGTGTGCGTCTCGCTGTTACACACACTTAACCAGTGGCAGAAATGGGTGGTGGCAGACAGGAATAAATACCCCAAGAAATATTGTATATATGTTTCTAAAAATCGAGATTGAGGTGAAAAAATTGCCATTAAAATAGAAAAATAAAGAATAATAACAAAAATTAAATATATATGCCAAATTAAGGCCAATATGCTGGGCTTCATACATTTGTAATCAAGAGATTGAGGTATAGAAATTGCCATTGAATATCACATAAAGGAAAAATATGTATATGCCTGTATATATACACTAATTTAGGTCTAAATGCTTCAAATAATGGTTTACATATCTCAATAGGCCTTTAAAAAACAATATTTATTAAAAAGCCCAATATGCTAGGCTTAAAATAAAAACTTTAAAAAGATATATACATAACAATTTAGGCAAATATGCTAAGGTTAATATCATTCTGTACTCTAATTCCTGTTTTTTCTATGCCTCCAAAAGTTTTGTAAATACCCAATTGTTTAGACAGTGGGCAAAAAAGTGGCCCCCCCTTAATGTTTTTCTTTTATTCATTAAACTTTAAATCAGTCCTATTTGTACTGCCTTTCTTCTTTTCATTTCCCTGACTTACGCAATAACTGACGTGGGTTTCTGGTAAAACTTAAACTGCATGCTTGTTATTGTTTTATACAATGATGCATAATGAGCATCGTTTGGAAATTAAAGCACAATAAAAGTCCCTTGGGGAACTATTCAGTAAAAGAATCCATTACACCAGCAATTAAAAGGCTGCAATCAAACAAAGAGGTGATTAACACCTCTGAGCGATGACGTGTTTAGTTGGTAGAACACAGACCCGCAAAACCCTCAGAGACAGGAAGTGCAAACATCCAGCCGATGCTCCTCTGACGAAAACAAGCCACAGAGGCCGTAGTGAAATGAGTCAAGCGACGCACGCCTCTTTAAAGATTACAATCCCGCTTTTAGGAGGGGAAACAGCCCGTGGTCACCACATCCCCGATGATCTGACACCGTTCCACTCGAGCAGCACTCAGATCGGTAGCTCCACTAGAGCTCAGATACCGGGAGAACATTTGACTGTGATGACTGGGTAGATGAAAGATCTGAGTGATAGTGTGTTGCTTTGGAAGTAAGGTGGAATTTTCTGTCAAAAATAATATGTTCCTCTGTTATTGCTAAAATACCAATTTTAAAGATGTTCCTTCCATTGTTAAGTGGACTGGCTTACATCATTTTCTATTTAAAACAGGTTTCCTTTTACTTATATCAGAAGTGTTATCACATTCTTCTCTGTCATAAACTCAGCCTACACAAATTCTATATACACACAGAACATTTTTAAACAGTTTTAACAATTATTATCACTTGAAGGATATTATTTTATTATTCATCATTGATAATCATGATAAGTATAGTGATTCATTATAAAGACCTGAGATCAATATGAAGCAATAACTTACGCTCATTTAAGAGTTACATTTATAGTTTAAAATGTAATTATATAAATGGTCTTTTCCGGACATTTAAATGAAATTATTTATTTAAAATAACAAAAATAGACCTCCAGCTGTTCCCGTTAAAAAGACAACCCTCTCATGTTTAAGCACTATTTGAATGTATGTATATATATATATTAACTGAGAAGGTGTTCTCTGTCAGAAAAGGTGACACAGATGGGCCACGGGAATATCAAAATAAAGGCCCACCTGGAAGGTGTTTGTTATACCCCTAACCCTAGTGTGGCTAAAATGCCAACATTCTAATGTCCTCTGGTTCAAACCTTTAAAACGGAACAAGAAGAACAAACCATGTCCGGTTTCACATTTTTGAGACTCAAATTATAAAATGAATAATTGAAAAATAGTTACCAAATGAAATAGCCTACGTATGTGTGTATATATATGTGTGTGTGTGTGTGTGTGTGTGTGTGTGTGTGTGTGTGTGTGTGTGTGTGTGTGTGTGTGTGTGTGTGTGTGTGTGTGTGTGTGTGTGTGTGTGTGTGTGTATATATGTAACTGGGGTAATTTACTAAGAGAAAAAAATCCCAATAAATAAAGCTATGGATCAATTTGACAGTTAGCATTATTAATTGTAGTATTTCAATTTTCTATAGTTATTACTATAATATTGTTTTTGGGAATTTTTAAGGCCATAACTATTATGTCGTAAGAAATTCACTGACTTAATACACGAGTCATGCTTACCGTGGTGTCCACTGATTTGACTGAGGTAGTTTGAACATGTATTGAGGCTGACCCCTGTGCCACCACACAGCCTTGGGGTCCCAACGTGATGATGACGGAGCCACAGCCTCGCTTCAGCAGCTCCTGCCCGGCCCGATGGGCTTCCTCCACGTTAGAGACCGGGGATCCAGTCAGCAGCTCAGCCTGCAAGACGAGCAGAGTCAAGAAACTGCAAACATCCCGTTCACCAATGGGACCATTTCTTAGTCATTTTAACGAAGACCTTTTATTGGTCAGGGAGCTAAGTTAATTAAAGATAGAGCTAAACCAGCACTAGTGTGGGATACTTGGAGGATGCATTATGGAAATTCCCCAATTCCCAAGGACTGTGAGTAACAAACAGGAAGTCAAAGCAATTCCTATTTTTCCTGTAAAAAAATACACAAATGTTTTATTTGCCTCTTTAAAAACCCAGTGAAGTCCATCACAACCATTCACTATGTCCAATGCTTCCTAATTAGTAGTCTATAGGAAGTATTTAGCGGATTTGTTTTAGTTTTTGTATTAACATTTGTGAGATGACTCAGCTCTTAATCACACACTGTGGTGGTCATTAAATACATCCAGTCTGTTCAGGGTTTGCCGGATCGGCCAGCAGTCTGCGGGCCAAACACATTTTCAAAGAGTAGATTCTCCGACTGCGCTGGTTCATCTGGCTCCAAAATGACTAAACAGTGACAGTGCAGGACTTCACAGCTGATGCTTAGAACTTTAAAGAAGCATTGAGAACGAGAAGATGAGCCACATTATCATTTTCTATGTGATTAAAGGCGATTGCACTGCAGGTTCATTTGCAAGCATAACTGAAAGAAAGTGACGTACAATTACACAAATTATCGTCAAATTAAATCCTGTCATAAAAGCTAGACTTTCTAGTCTTTCTTTCTTTAAAATATTTGAACTGTTTATGCCAATTTTTTGTATTAGACTGCAGGCTTAACACATGTTGATTTACGGTATTTATTAAATGCTTTTCAAAACATGCTGTCCTTTCATAATAATATTAACACCAAATCCGACGCTTATTTCTCAAAATAAATACACCTCACATGTTAGTTTCAGTGTTTATTGCTGTATAACATTTCTTTTTTCTTTATTTCCCCTGTTGAGAAGCATTGCTTCTTAATCGCTTATTACTTACGACCCCTGCTATTCATTTGAAATTGTTAGAAAAAAATAAATGAATTGCATATTCCTTCCTTCTGACTTCCCTCAAAATGCTACAATGTCTACAAAGTGTCGGTTAGAATAGTGCACATTTAGGTTTAATGTTATATGCTTAATTAAAATATTTCAACTGTGGTGTCTTGGACAGAAATAAACTTCATTTGAAATATGAAAATAGAAATGAATGCAGTGAAGCATTTTGACAATCATTATTTTGTCTTTGTGAATGTAGATTAAATGTAGAGCACAAATCAGTGTCTATGTTCCATCATTTATATTAACACTGTATATTCAATTTAAAAACTGATTTAAAATATAAATTCAAGGAAATGTCCAGTGAATTAAAAGTTAATGTTTAACATAAGTATTTTAATAATTGAATAATAAAAATGATATTACAAACAAAGAATGTTAGGTGTTACTCAAATTGAGGTTTCATATTATGATAATTGTTAATATTATTATAACTTTGGGCTATTACATTTTTATTTTGTATTTCTTTGTATGCTTTTTAGAGTTCACCCTCGTACACAATCAATGTTCTTAACTGTAGATTCACTACCCATGACAGCTTGTGCGTCTCCATTTTTGTGGACAGATGTTTGTTACTACAATAACTTTTTTTTGTGACTTTGTTTAGCTTTTCTCCTTCATAAACCAAAATAAAAAAATGTGGGACAAAAGTGACTTGATTAAAGTTCCTCGTGAACAAAAACAAATTAAACAACATGTGGAATCCATTTAGAGTTTCCCTTTAATTTTCTGGAGCAATTTCAGGTCTAGAATCACGCTGCTCTATAAATACCACTATACAAAATTACACGCAACGTATTTCTTGTTAATGCTGCTTTTTGTTTTCTATGAAAGTGTGTGAGTCCTTTCAGATCTGTGGACACAGTTTGGCACGCGTGGTCCTCAGGTGGACATCAAAGATAACTCCTCTCACTATAAAGCACTTCAGTGCAGAATGTGGGCTCAGGATCAAAGAGTGCCAGCACAGTGAGACCACACACACACACACCTGTACGGAATGTGTGCAAACTTGAACCCCACACAGGAGGGTCAATGCTTGGTTCATGCTCACATTGAATGGGGGGTCTGAGGAACCCCCCCCCCCCCACTGTCAAAGTGAACAATGACCTTGGACAGTTCAAAAATAAACCGCCGAGTGTATCGGTGCGTTTAGAGCCCCGCAGCCACCCCGGTGTTGTCGGATGCCAAGAGAGAAAAAAGAGCCGTTTTGTTAGTCATCGGCTTCACACCAGGGCAGGGAATCAATCTACCTCCCTCTGTGTGCAGCAATAGGAAAGTTGAATTATGGCTCTCTCACTGTCTATGTGTGCGCTTATTCTACACACATACCGCACAAAGCATATGCAGTATAAAGCTGTTGACACTGTGGGTGTATTATATGTTTAAGCATAACACCAAAGGGTGGAAATAAATATGCTGTCATTAGGTAATTTTATATATTTATAGCTTTTTTCATTTGCATTGCATTCTATTTCAATTTGATATTGAAGTTGTTTAAAGTACATTTTCTTCTGTATGTTTGCCTCTGCATCAGTATGTCTTGACAAAAGCATTGCAGAATTTAGTTTAAATACATTTGTTGAATATAAATCCTAGACTGTCAATTTAAATACAATTTGTTTTAGGTCTTTGATTAGCATTATAAACGTTATGTTTCTTATGTTACATTAAAGGCAGTTAAACATTGTAAGTCCCAGTTATCGGTATAGCTTATCTGCAGTATATGTATGTTTGTAAGTTGCAACATTTTTGGTGAATATTCGTGTGGAAGAGGCTCACTGGCATGGTAGGGGAATTACTTTTGTCGTTATTTTTTTTTTTTTCTTACTTACATGTATTGTATGTCTTAATTTTTTGTTTGAACATATAACCAGTGCAAACTAGTCTATGCACTGTCAAAATGTAATACAAAGAGTTTGGTTCAGAAAAATCGTAAATCCCTTAGACGCTCTCCTGGCTGAATCATCAGTTTAATTCCATTATAATATTTCTATATCAAAGTAAATTATTATTTATGAATATTATTTAAAAATGTGCACAGCTAGGTGTATACAATACTTTACGATATCGAAGGAAATACCAAAATGTCTAATCACAAGGCATATAATCATATTTAAAATATAATTATCTATTCAGTAAAGTGCTTTTATTTTAGCCAATAACAAACTCTTACAGGAACAATATTAAGACACACTGTAAGCAGTTTTTATGCACTAGGCCGTGTTTAAAGCAACCCAATGAAAAATCAAACATTACTTTAACCGAGAGAAGAAGAAAAATGATGCAGAAACTATAAATGAAAGCAAGCTAATAGAAATAAACTAAACTAAAAAACAAGGAAATCAAGGCACACTGCTTTGTTGAAGGTCCCATGTCATGGCCATGTCTACTGATCATAATTCCATTGTTGAGGTCTACTAGAATAGATTTACATTGTTCAATGTTCCAAACTCACATTGGTTTCTCATACAGCATCTCTGTATAGTATGTGTATTCACTCTCTGTCCTACACGGCTTGTTGGAGCTCCTGCCCCCCCCCCCCACCCCTGTGAGCCCACTGTGCTCTGATTGGTCAGCTCGCCCACTCTGTTCTGATGAGTCCACCACCGTTACAGCAGAACATCAGTGATTATGTTTTACAATGGCGTTAGCAACCAGAAAATGACACCAGCAATGACAAACAGATGAGAATGCTGCTGTGTTAGAGTTTTACTCGCTAAAGGGTGTACTTTGAGGGTTTGTGACTCTGCAGACCGTTTACATGCATACAAAGCTACATATCACACAAGGGGACGGGTAATAACCAGAAAAGCATGTCATGGGACCTTTAAAGAACACCTAACTACATTGTTAAAAACTGTTATAACACACTAGATCTCCTAAAACAAGTCTATGTTACAATTCAATTATGCATTTAATCATTTATGCAGCAACTCACTTATTTATACCTGTTAAAACCCACGTATGCACATTGTTTAAATAGTATAGAAACAAAAACCTATATAAACATAATTTCAATATAGATTTGAAACAATGAGAAAAAAATAATTCTCTATTTGAGGTTTTTTTATGCAGTGTCCCATGAATTTTGGAAAGTATCCATTATTCCTCATGTGTATTTCTGTTTTACTGCTGTCAGATCTGAGTAGATTACCCCTTTGTTTTTTTTATTGCACCTTTAAAAGTCTAATTATTTAAAGCTACAGGGGCAACAATTGCTGTAGGTAACAATTTATCGGGTCTTAAGAGTTTAAACTGTTAAATAGAATGACAAATTCTACTTTTAGGGGCTTTACCATTAAAAAAAATTAGGAAAAAAAAGCGTTGCCCTCTCTTTCTTTTTGTATTATTATTATTATTATTTTTAAGATATTGAATGTTAGGCTTTTTTATTTTAAATAATCAAGATGTTTTAGTGCCCTTTCCAACCCTGTTTACTGTCTCATATGTAACATGACTGTACCTTCATGACCTGACACTTTAAAAAAAACATGATGTGCTTTCCCCAACTCTCCCCCCTTCATGTCCCCACACCTGGCTACAGCTTCTCTCTGCCCTGCACCACCACATCAAATAGAGACTCCCAGGCAAACGCCCATCCACTTCATCCCCGAGGGGGCTGATGACTCAGCCAAAGAGCACATCTGCCTTGTTGTTTTTACTACGATTCCCATCTAACCCTGCCCCCCCCCGCCGTCGCTCCTCTGTCGTCACCTTACAGTCAAGACACAAGGTGCCATGACACTTGGTTTTACCGTAAAAGGGTGCAGAGATACTCATATCCCTCTTCATACCAGAGCATTTACATGTATGGCTAAAGGCTACAGTGGGGTTATTGATGTGTTGGCAGAGGTCATGACCCGGGAGACGCAGTTGAATCACTGTGAAAAGGTGTGTGCATGTGTGTGGGCGCTCATAACATCTCAGACCTATGATCTTTTTCATTTCACAGAGAAACAAATGTTTCTACCTACCTAACTGAGGGCTGCAAAACCAACCCAGTCTCACGGCATTTCGTGTTATAGTCATGACATTTAATCTATTGATTCGTGTTCACCAACACGATTTCCCCCTTTTTTTTCGTGTCACACAGAACGATTTTAAAAGCAATGTATTTCTATTGGTAGTATGTTTCGTGCCTGCAGCACGTATTTTTGTCCGGTCGGGTCTTGGAAGACCGGAAGCTGTGTGGTTCATAAAAACATTTTCTTACTCAATATCAAGCCACAATTATTGCTTTTATTTTTAAATGTCTGACTTTTTTTGCCGTCCGTGAGGAAAATAAATGGGGCTCAGAATACTGAAATATGTATTTTTTAAATCTTTTTTTCCTTCTAATTTGTTATTCTTTTCTAAATAACACACTGTTATTTACTCAACAATAACACACAATTATCCTTGTTTTTATTTATTTGTTTAAATCTATAATCTCAGTTTTCTTTGCGGTCTGTCAGGAACGGAATTTCAAAATAACCTATCAACAAAATATATATATAATGGCTATTTTGGACATCCCTTTCAAGATTTTCTAAGGTTTATTGACATATTATATACACAGTATAGTGTAGTTATGCAATGAATGAAAAACTTGGGTTGCAAGTTCCTCAGCAGTGCATTACAAGACATCTATCAATATGTGTGTATACCTCACATTAATTATTAATATATTAATATTAATATTTATCTGTAGATACCCCCAAAGCTTTTTTCTTATTTAAAGTGGACCTATCATGCTATATTTGAATAATATATTGTAGGGCCATACCTATACAAAACATGTCTGTGAAGTTTGTTTTTCAAAATACCAAACAGATCATGGATTTTAGCCATGCCTCATTTCGCTCTATTTGCTCTTTTCCAGCCCTGTCTTCACAAGGGCTGATTCTGTGGCAAATGAGCTGCAGCTGACCACACCCCCTGCAAAGGAGAGGGGCGAGGCACGAGCGTCATGTTACCATGCTGTTACCATGCTGTTACCATGCCACGCAACCGCTCATTCCCCTGATAGGTGGAGAGTTGCCCATATAGGCGGAACTCCCCGTTTCTGACATCAGAACAATTTCAAATCTGTACCAGCTCCGTTGCAGCCCCATTTTTAGAGATTTGGGTATGGAGGAAAATAGAGAGGGTTGTGTTTTCTGACACTTGGTGAGTTCCCTGACACACCGGGGACACATATTCATGTATGAAAGACGTACAAAAGTGCATTTTGCATGATAGGTCCCCTTTAAAAGACCTTAACCTAAAGTATTCTTTAATGTTTAAATAAAGGTTAATTAGTTTGTCTGTTTTGCACATCCTCCTTTAATATCTTTGGACATCCAGCACTAAACTGTTTTATTGTAGAGATCACTTACAGTATCTTCTTGATTTTTTATATTCTATATTTCTATCATGGACTTTCCCCTCTGTACTCTTAATATTTTTTTCATCAAATATAACATATTCGACAAAAATATTCAATAACGTGCTTTAACCACTAGGTGGTTGCTGATATATTTATGATTCACGTCACGTATTCAGTTTCGGCGGCAGTTCTTCCAGTTTGTCCAGAAGTCTTCTAATCAGGGCTCTATAAATAAAGAACTACGGCAGATGCGTAATATTTAATGCAGCCGAACCGTGTATTACAATGCCGTTATGTGATGACTTTCAAAGAGAAAAGCACACACTCGGAATAAAGCATTATTTTCTTTTTTTTTAAAAATGTTTTCGGATTTCATATCGCACAAACAATATCCCATATCCCAACGTGCATTGCGGCTAAAACATCCAATCACCGAGCTTCAACCATAGCTGAGGATCTTGGGTAATCAGTTCAGTGGGTGTGTGTCGAAATGTCCTGGAAATGTCTGTTTCCGGTGACTTTATTTTGAAATTCAGTTCCTGACGGACGGCAAACAAGCTCGAGATTATATAATTAAACAAATAAAAACAAGGATAATTGTGTGTTATTGTTGAGTAAATAACAGTGTGTTATTTAGAAAAGAATAACAAATTAGAAGAAGGTATTTAAAAAATACATATTTCAGTATTCTGAGGCTCTGAGCCCCATTTATTTTCCTCACGGACGGCAAAAAAAGTCCGACATTATACAATTTAAAATAAAAACAATAATCGTGGCTTGATATTGAGTAAGAAAATGTTTTTATGAACAGCTTCCGGTCTTCCAAGACCCGATCGGACAAAAAGACTTGGTGCAGGCACGAAACATACTACCAATAGAAATGCATTGCTTTTAAAATCGTTCTGTGTGACACGAAAAGAAGGGGGAAATCGTGTTGGTGAACACGAATCAATAGATTAAATGTCGTGACTATAACACGAAATGCCGTGAGACTGGGTTGGCAAAACAAAGGCTTCCAATGTTAGTTTTTAACAAGTGTTGACACTTTCAAACAGCAGTTTGTGTTGATTTTAACAATCCTGACCTAACTGACCATTCACCAAGATTAAGGTTGTGTCCTTTTCCAGGCAAAATGTGTAAGAAATTGGTAATCTGCTCTATTGTGGGCTAAACTGCAAGAGTTAGTATTCCAGGCTAACTAGCTTACTATCTAGATTCAATGCCAAGGAGTGCATCATTAACTAACTACTGTATATTAGTTTGTTGGGTAAAGGCTACATTGAAGCCACATTCATGACCAGCACATCTACTTCTCAGTATTATCTCACTGTGTCGAAGCCGCTCCTGAACGTTATCAAAGTTTAAGCTAACATTAGCTGCCCTAGCTTGCTTTTTGGGAAGGATTACGTTCCCGTAACTCCAGCAAACAGTACCCAAGACAGCGTTTCATTTACCAAAACATCAGAAAAAACCTATCCTAAAAGAGTTTTTTCCTGAGCCAACTGAAACATTTTCATGCAACTCATTGAGCTCATTAGCTATAGCCTTGTTAAGTATACAGCTAGAGGAAATAGTTAGGGATTTCCAGAAAGCATCAACGCTAGCTAAAATACACAACGCCTGCTGTTGTTTACCTTGATGTGACATTCAAAATCTTTTCTCAAAAAGACAAATAATGATGATAAATCTACAACTGATATCACGTAATGCAAACAGAAAGCCGGTCAATTTAGTACCCACAGTGTAGGACTGGTTTTATTTATTTTGTTCAACTTTTGTGTTTGTGTGTGTGGTTTGTGTGGTGTGTGTGTGTGTGTGTGGTGTGTGTGTGTGTGTGTGTGTGTGTGTGTGTGTGTGTGTGTGTGTGTGTGTGTGTGTGTGTGTGTGTGTGTGTGTGTGTGTGTGTGGTGTGTGTGTGTGTGTGTGGTGTGTGTGTGTGTGTGTGTGTGTGTGTGTGTGTTGTGTGTGTGTGTGTGTGTGTGTGTGTGTGTGTGTGTGTGTGTGTGTGTGTGTGTGTGTGTGTGTGTGTGAATTATCACCTCAGACTCATTACAGCAAAACACATCAGAGGCTCTGTAGAAATCTGTATCCAAGTCAGGAATGGCCGGTGCTGGGTTGAATATTGTCTTTACTGTAACAAGAAACCAAACATTTCATTCTCCACACAGTAAATCATTGTAATCTACGGGTCACTTGGGATAACATGCAATCCTTAACAACTTAAGAAAATAAAACTTTTCTCAGTTATAGCTGTCAGCTTGCCGTTAAATATGGGATACAATTGTTACAATGTCCATCAGTGACACATTTTACAGTTGTGTGAAGTTTATTTTCCATTTGCTAAGCTTCAGTGTCAAGATCTGACATTACCTTAATTACACTTTCAATGGGAACAAAGACTAGTGGGCTACCACTGGGAATTGCTTTTGCAGGCATAGCTCAAGTGGGTAAGCTTCTATAAAAAGACGCCTTTTAAACGATTAAATTAGCATTCCTTGAAAGAGGAAATGCTGGTGGAAACAGCTTCACATCCTGCAGCTTTTTTGTGGTACGCAGTAACCCCTGCAGTTATAGGGTAGTGTGTGTCAATATGCGGCATATAACCCCAATATATGTGTGTCAGTGTGTGGGTGAGATGAGTTGTGACCCTTTCTCTGTGTGTTGAGGAGCGCAAGGGAGGGTGAGAGCGAGAGAGAGCAAGAGTGTTTGTCAGAAGTAATCCTCTGTACGTGTTGCACATCACTGTCTTATGCATATTCATGAGCACAGAGCATTAATGCATCTAATACCATGATTTCTGTGTATGTGTGAGGATAAGCCCAGCTTGACGAAACGATTAATTCTGATATCTCTGTGTACAAAATAAAGCCTCATGCAAGTGTGTGTGAGGGAAATGTATGTTCAGCGTTGGTGACATCAAAGTCTGTTGTGCTAAAGTGTGTGCCTAGTTGCTGTGTGTGTGTTTGCGTGGGCACATAAGAGAGCAGCTGCGTGGGTTTGTGCAGGGCTTTGGCCACCTGGCGCTTTGAGGTGGATGCCGGGCTGCTCGCTAAAAGTGGAAATATCGTCTATCTGTTTTCTAACACACACACACACACACACTCATATACTGTATGTGTACCCACATGTACTATGGACATGTCACAAGAAAAGTGACACCAGGTTGCTCTTCTTCCCTCTCTCTCTATGTTAACTGTATTCCCCCTCAATTTCCATCACTTCCGTTTCGAAGTGCGAGATCTCTGAAGTGCAATGTCTCTGTTTTTGCATAAAGGAGGGATCTTCTCGTCTGTTTGAAGGTTTTTATATCAGTTCCCTATCTCCTCTTTCGCCACAAATGCTTTCCAGGGATCTTTAAAGAATACGTCTGAATTTTTTCACTGTTAATATAAGTAATGCAAAATCAAAACACGTCAGTCTTATAATAGATTTTTAAGGAATGAGTCCTAAAACCCAGATATGAGTCAGCTATTTTATCCTTCCCGTTCCATGCTACAGTATTTATTTTTTTTTAGTAAATATTCCACTTGTAAATTAAACTAATTATTTTGTGGGATGGAAAAAAAAGCTATTAGAGAACCAACACAATGCTAACTTTAACCAAGCAACATAAAGTAGAACGCGCCGCAGATCCCTTTTCCTCAAGTTTATCTCAAATTCCTTTATAAATGTCGTTATTTTTGAGGACATCATTTGTATGTTCTCTTTGGTCCAGATGTCAAGCAAACACCGGACCTCTGCAAAAGTCCAAGCCAGTCCTCTTCCACTTATGTTGTTAACCTGTGTCCAAAAATGTCCATGCAGTTTTGATTGCCACAATTGCCCAATTACACAGATTTGATTAATGCCCCGGCCACACAAGGACGAAAACGGCTAAACGCATAGGATTAACGCAAACGCAATCGCAAAAAAAGCTTCCGTCCACACGCAATAGTCATGCGGATAGTGTCTGTCCACACGAGACAGCTCTGTTTAGCCCCAACCACTGGAGAAGCTGCAGTACATATGCAGTAGCCTGTACGTGGCGCTGTAACTTCCTCCACATAAGCAGCGAAGAAGCATGGTTGTCATGGTTGCCCTTCTGTTTATTCTCCGCGGTGGGGGCCGAGTGAACCGGGCAGAGTTTTTCGCCAGTCAACGTGTATTAAAGTTTAAATCTTCCGACAAAATGATAAAAGTGCCGGTCAAAGGTCTTCTTTGTTATTTATTGAGCTTTAAAACAAATGAATTACGAATCTATATAATATAATAATAAAATACACGGAGCCTCTCTTTTTCCTCCCTCTCTTTGGACAGCGCCAGTGTCTGTTTCATGCAGCAGCTGATCCAGTAATGAGTGACCCGGCCGACAGTAAAAATAAACATATTTATAACTAGTTTAGGTAGTTTGAGAGGTGTCTCCGTCCTGTTAGATTAGACTTCACTCACATTTATGTCCATATCGAGAGAAAGATAAATAATCTGAATTCAGTGTGCAGTTTACTTTGACTCGGGGGTGAGCAGCAGAGATGGGGAGAGGCGGGGCTATTGCCTCATCATTATCAGAAAATGATCGTATAGGGCGTACACACGGAGCCGTTGGACCCCCCAGAGCGTTGCGTATGCCGTTCTATCCACCTTGGGACCCGTTATCGTTTCCGCAGTCGTTTAGTGCCGTATTCGGTCGTCCTCATGTGGCCGAACGGTCTATATGACACTAAACAGTAACGCAAACGACCGTTTTCGTCCTCGTGTGGCCGGGGCATAAAACTGACATAAATGTTGGCTTTCGAAAGCGCTTTAAATCAGTTTTTTCTATGGTGGAAAATAAGTATTTGGTCAGTAACAAAAGTTAATCTCAATACTTTGTTATATACCCTTTGTTGGCAATGACAGAGGTCAAACGTTTTCTGTAAGTCTTCACAAGGTTTTCACACACTGTTGCTGGTATTTTGGCCCATTCCTCCATGCAGATCTCCTCTAGAGCAGTGGTGTTTTGGGGCTGTCGCTGGGCAACACGGACTTTCAACTCCCTCCAAAGATTTTCTATGGGGTTGAGATCTGGGGCCTCATTTATAACGCCGTGCGTAGGATTCACGTGGGAAGGTTGCTTACGTAGTAGAAATCCAAAAAATAGGTACAGAATTTTCCGATTCGTCAAACATTGCGTACCGGCGAGGAAAGTGCGTACAGCACTTCCTACGCCAGTTTCCCTTTATAAATCACAATCGACTCGAAATGCGGTGCAGCTTTTGCGGGCTTCACGTAACGCCCATATTTGCCTATAAATAGTCAAAGAAACGCCCATTCATTCATTTTGACTGACTGCATGAAGAAGATCGCAGAAAACGACGACAAAACAGCTAAAAAAGACATCTCACACCGTGTCAGATTTTGGTTATTTTGGGGAGGTCGAGATAAATCATATTGTTTGGTGGATGCCGTTTGAACCAGAGTAGCAGCATGGAGGTCAGATCGTCACCAAAATAAATAAATAAGTGGTCCGAAAAAGGTTCATGACAAAAAAAATACACATAGCCTTCCTCAGGCAGTGTGTACCGGAGACAGGAGACACCCCCTTGATGAGAGACTGTAAGAAATTATCGGGGAATCCCTCCGGTGTGGAGTCATGACGACTGGATCTGAATTATGTTTTCGTATTTGGTGGTTTGTGTCCCAGCTGTCGATCAGCTGTGCGCAGCGTCTCCACTGCAGCCTGTGCATCTCAACCCCCCCCTCCCCGCAGCAACTCTATATCCACCAGTTAAAGGAAATACAACTAATGTGTTGTGTTATATTAGCTATACAATTTACCACATATGGTGTTCTTAGTTTCCATACCTCCTGTGTTTTATGAGTGACTTATCAAGTCTTAGCAAACGGCATAAAACATGATTAAACATGGTAGTATATAAAACCATGCTCGTACAACCTATAGAAATGCAAAACCGCATCATTTATGAGAAAACATTTCATAACATTAACACAACATATTTGAGGTGGTTTTAAATAACATATCCGTATTTATTTATTTCTCTAAGTTATGTTTTGTGTGCACTGAGGAGTCTCAAACAGGCGTTTGTTTAATCATTTTAAGATTGGCTTTAATCAATGTTTGAAAATGAATTATTCATATATGATAAATGAGAGGTAACATTTTATTTATGGTGTTATTTCCACATATTTCTCTCCATTCTTCCTTCTGCCAACGGTGTCGCAGTTTCTCGTCTCTCCCGTTTTTGTGCTTAGTGCGTACGCATGAGTTAGAGTTTGCGTGGAGGACCGCATGTTTTCCCGTCAAGTTAGTATTTTATAAATCGCAAACATTGCGTAGAAACTGGCGTACGCCATTTTTTTAGCGTATATCCCTTTATAAATGAGGCCCCAGGAGACTGGCTAGGCCACTCCAGGACCTTGAAATGCTTCTTACGAAGCCACTCCTTCGTTGCCCGGGCGGTGTGTTTGGGATCATTGTCATGCTGAAAGACCCAGCCACGTTTCATCTTCAATGCCCTTGCTGATGGAAGGAGGTTGTCACTCAAAATGTCACGATACATGGCCCCATTCATTCTTTCCTTTACACGGATCAGTCGTCCTGGTCCCTTTGCAGAAAAACAGCCCCAAAGCATGATGTTTCCACCCCCATGTTTCACAGTAGGTATGGTGTTCTTTGGATGCAACTCAGCATTCTTTCTCCTCCAAACACGTCTAGTTGAGTTTGTATCAAAAAGTTCTATTTTGGTTTCATCTGACCATGTGACATTCTCCCAATCCTCTTCTGGATCATCTAAATGCTCTCTAGCAAACTTCAGACGGGCCTGGACATGTACTGGCTTAAGCAGGGGGACATGTCTGGCACTGCAGGATTTGAGTCCCTGGCGGCGTAGTGTGTTACTGATGGTAGCCTTTGTTACTTTGGTCCCATCTCTCTGCAGGTCATTGACTAGGTCCCCCCGTGTGGTTCTGGGATTTTTGCTCACCGTTCTTGTGATCATTTTGACCCCACGGGGTGAGATCTTGCGTGGAGCCCCAGATCGAGGGAGATTATCAGTGGTCTTGTATGTCTTCCATTTTCTAATAATTGCTCCCACAGTTGATTTCTTCACACCAAGCTGCTTACCTATTGCAGATTCAGTCTTCCCAGCCTGGTGCAGGTCTACAATTTTGTTTCTGGTGTCCTTTGACAGCTCTTTGGTCTTGGCCATAGTGGAGTTTGGAGTGTGACTGTTTGAGGTTGTGGACAGTTGTCTTTTATACTGATAAACAAGTGCCATTAATACAGTTAACGAGTGGAGGACAGAGGAGGCTCTTAAAGAAGAAGTTACAGGTCTGTGAGAGCCAGAAATCTTGTTTGTTTGTAGGTGACCAAATACTTATTTTACCGAGGAATTTACCAATTAATTCATTAAAAATCCGACAATGTGATTTCCTGGATTCTTTCCCCCCATTCTGTCTCTCATAGTTGAAGTGTACCTAGGATGAAAATTACAGGCCTCTCATCTTTTTAAGTGGGAGAACTTGCACAATTGGTGGCTGACTAAATACTTTATGTATACTATATATGCTATGTAAGAAGGCTATATTGCTCAATCACTTAAAAGGCTTTTCATGTACTATTGTCAATAGTTAGCATCTGTAGCCATGGAAAGAACTGGAAGAACAATGTTGTCTTCCATAACATGTCCTTTTTTTGCGAACTGTGGCGTAAAAGCAGCGTTTGCATCACTTCAGTGCTGGTGCATAGGCCCAATACTCATTAAGTAAACATGCAATAAGACTGCTGAGGATGGAAGCCTATCAATATGCACACAGGAGCAGCTTGTGTTAAATCCCTAATATAACCATGCATAAAGGAATCTGCCTCTCTGATGCCATGAGCTGCTACTGTGGACGTCATTTTTACCTGTGCGTTGGTCTCAGGTTGCATGTTTTGCTTTCCAGGTGTTGGTAAAACACACTCCAGCACACACACACAGACATGCTCACAGCTGCTGAGACAGATGTGGTAATACTTGCTTGTGTGCATACTGAGTCACGTCTGGCAGGAGAATGTGTGTGTCATGACTGGGCTTTTTTTTTTGCATGGAAGTTCAAAGTCTGCTTGCAGATGTGTTGGAAAAGCAACCAGGTCAGCTCGAGGAAGCACACAAATACAGCAGTGTGTTGCTTTGGTGGATTTTGGGAGGATAGGTGGATGGAAAACAAGATCAGAGGGGAAAACAGGGTAAGATCCCCTGCACGCTCCTACTTGGAAGCACACACACACACAAAGTAAATGAGTCATCAGTGAGTGTGTGAAAGGGCTTTAAGAGGCTCTAATTGCATCTGGTGAGAAATATAAAAGCGGCTTATTGCTCAGACAAGCAAGAGGAAGGGGGGGTTGAAGATGGAAGAGAAAAAAAAGAGTGAAACTACACAACTCCTAGCATTTCCTCAGGTCTTAGAAATTAATGTAATTCCATTAACATCTCAATATTAGATGGAAGTAAATATATAGATACTTTTTTCTCTCAACTAATTACACGTGAGGAACCTAAACTCTTCTCAACAAGTGTGTTTCGAGAGCTGGCATCCACAGTACGTGTGGCTCGCTGGTGACATTTGCGTAATTTGTGCAACGCTTCACCCCCGCACCATTAAATCCTCGCCGCCAAACCCATTAACAGCCATTCCCTCCAGAGAACTCCATTTACGCAAGTCTCTGGTGGAGCAGCATCGACGACGGTGGCATCTTTGCCAAGCGTCTTCGCTCGCTTTGCCTCTCTCCTGGTGCCACATGCAGAGCCTGATCCCATGGTATGGTCGACACTGAGGAAGGGGGGGTTCGGGGGAAAGAGGGTGGCACTCGGCGAGGCCATCTGGGTGTCCCATCTGCAACACGGTTGTGGCTGCGACTCTTTCGCTCTGGCAGCCTGCAGCGAGCGATTACCAGCAACAGGCCCTGATGACAGGGGCGTGAGGCTCCCCAGACGTATCGAATGACGTGAGGCGTGCTAATAATAGGATGCTGTTGAGCTCAATAACCTGGTTATCACCAAAAAGGTGGCGAGAGGAAGGGTCTGAAATTGGTTCCGTTTTTTTATTCAACCTTTATTTAACCAGATAAAAAAGCATTGAGATAAAATCTCATTTACAATGCTGACCTGGCCAAGAAGGCAGCAACGTTACACATAACACATAACACAAACATATAAAATACAGAGAACACAACTAAGAAAACAAAAGACGAAAAAGCAGTCACTACATTGTGCACATTAGGACAGTAAGAAAGGTACACTACTTATTTCTGCAAGAGCAGCTGGTGCTAAGGACCTCAGACAACTTCAATTTAAAACATGCTATTGAGTGCCCTCAGTTTTAGGCTTGATTGAAGGTCAATCCAAGACCAAGAACCATAATAAAAAAGACTCATTTTTCCAGTCTCAGTACCAGGTACCTCAGCAGGTACCTGGAATCGTAACCAGGCACTGGATCTGAGGTTGTGAGAGTCACAAACTGGAGCAAATCTGGCATATATGTACAGTGGAAGCTTACCTAAAATGGCTTTATACATTAATAAAAACCAATGCTGCATCCTACGCATAGTAAGTGAGGACCATCCAGTTAGGCTGTACAGTTTGCAATGATGAGTCATATAGGGTGCATTTGATATATAACGCAGTGCAGCATGGTAGAGTGGGTCAAGTTTGGCCAAAACATTGGGACAGGCAAATCTATAAATTGTATCACCGTAGTCAAGCTGGGACAGGAATAAGCCAGAGACCAACCTTTTACGGGATGAAGTTGAAAAACAACATTTAAGTCTGAAAAGCAAGCCAAGAGTGAATTTCAATTTCTTTGTTAGAACTTCAATGTGGTGTTTAAAGTTTAGATTTCTGTCCAACCAAAAGCCCAGATATTTGTAGGTATCGACAAACTCAACAGAGACGCCATCAAGGGTGTCAATGGAGAGGCAAGAGGACACTGACTTGGGAGCAAAAAGCATTGCTTTGGTTTTCTTACTGTTCAATAGCAGTTTGGAATCAAGAAGTGCATGCTGCAGCGTGATAAAATCAGATTTTAAATTGGAAACGGCTATATCCAGAGAAGGAGCATATGAGTATACAATAGTGTCATCAGCATACATATGATAGGTAGAAAATTGCATCTGATTACAAATATCTAAAATAGAGCCCTGTGGAACTCCCTTCTTCGAGGGACAGTACTACCCAACCTGACACATTGAGTACAGTCAGTTAGATAACTTTGAAACCAGCAAATGGCGTTATGACCGAAACGAGTCACCAACATAACATTAGACAGAATGTGGTGATCTACAGTGTCAAATGCTTTGGCTAGGTCAATAAACAATGCAACACAAACTGATTTTGTATCCAAAGCAGCCTTAATATCGTCTCAGACTTTCAGACTGGCAGTCACAGTACTGTGCTTTGATCTGAATCCAGATTGCATAGGGTTAAGGATGTTGTGTGAATTTAAAAAAAGTTGAAACTAGGGACTCAAGAATCTTTGATAACACAGATAGATTTGAGATAGGACGATAGTTATTCAACTCAGTGGGATCACCAGCTTTCAAGAGGGGCGATACCATTTACCGTTTACGCAGGACAACAATTAATCAATTGGCAATATCCGTACAGACTAGGGGTGTAACGGTATCCGTATTCGTCCCGAACCGTCACGGTTCGGACGTCACGGTTCGGATGTCACGGTTCGGCACATGCAGTCACACGACGAATACGCATTTTTTATGAGTGGGAAAAAAGTCTGTCACTCAGGGCAGTATCCATTACACTATATATAATCCAGGGGGCGGTATTGCGCCTAAAAACTGTTTGCCAGCCGCCCTTTAACAACAAATGAAGAACAAGAAGAATACACAACTAAACGAACAAAATACAAGAAGAAGAAAAGTTAGTATGGCGATTTTAGATAACACACAGGAGCTAGAAGAGGAGACCCACCTGTGTCTTGTAAATCAGCTGTGTGGGAACATTTCGGGTTCCCTGTGGACTACAATAACGATGGAGTGCGAGAGGTGGAACCGTGAATTCTGTGAAACGTTACACCCCTAGTACAGACATGGTGTTTTATGTGGAATGTGAGCTGCAGTGACCTAACAAACACTCGTGAAAATATTACTTGTATCATCTTCGAGTCAGTGGGAAGAATTTGTCTTAAAGCAGCCCTATGCTCTTTTTCAGGTTTCATATTTGTATTTTTACTTGCTTTAATGTTCAAAAACATATTTATTTTTCTCATACTGCCTGTGCTGCAGCACCTACAGTATTTCCACCCTCTGTCTGAAACCATAGCCCAGTCTGCTCTGATTTGTTAGCTGGCCGGCTCTGTTGTGAATTGTGCTTTGAGATGTCTTGACCCTTAGCCAAACACGGACAATGTGCTAGAGCGCTAGCCAGTAGAAGCGCGAGTGTCACAAAGTGATGTGAACAAGTACACAAAGGAGTCCAATGAAGGCACTTCAGGCAGAGGGGGGAGTGTGTGGGAGATATACATGCACAAAAACCTGTAAAACACACTACAGGGAAAACCCAAAAACGCATAATATGGCCCCTATAAGAATGTTCGCCCTGGCAACTGAGCTACCTACACGTGAGCTGTGGACACACCATCATGTAAAGCACAAATACACTCACTGACCTTTGTTCTCCTGAGCCATGCGTAGCGCCTGCAAGGACGTCTGCGGGCTGATCTCCAGCTGGCACACCAGGACCTTTGCATGACTGATGGCTGGAAGAGCTTTGTGCAGCTCCTCACTGCCCAGCAGCATGTTGGCACCAGCCACGATCACAATGGCATTTTCACCTGCCCGCGGACACCAAAAGAGACGTGTGAGGAAACAACAGCCACCGTGTGATGACTTTGACAACCCATGGGAACTCTCAACTCCATAAATAGGGCTAAATACGGGATGTGTGATGTAAGAAACTGTGGGGGCTTACTGTACTTTGAATGTTTTCACACTATTTACAGTATGTGTGAGGGCAATATAGCAAATGACCTTAGTATAAAAAGTGAACATTTTCTGTGTCAACTAGGACATTAATAGTCAAGTTTCCCTCAAAATTGTAATGCCTTACATACTTTTTTTCAAAGATTTTTTAGGGCATCCGGTGCCTTAATTATAGAGACAGAGTTGAAATGGGGATGTTTATGTTTATGTTTATTAAGGATCCCCATTAGCTTTTGCTCTCGACAAAAGCTACTCTTCCTGGGGTCCGACACTTAAAACAATACAACAATAATACAGCAACATTTAGGACATAAGTCCTGACATCATTAATAACATTAAAAACATTAAAAACATCACCAATATCATCAACAACATGCGATCAAATTAAATTAGGGTTCACAGCTCACAAGGGTACATGGTCATTAGTAGATGGCCCTTCAATCTCTTCTTGAAAGAGGCTCTGGACTCTATTTCAGTAAGGTAGTTTGGCAATGAGTTCCATTCCTTTATAGCTCTATAAGACACAGAAGATTTCAGAAGATGTGTCCTGGGTTTAGGTGCCAGTAGATGGCCTGATGTAGCTTGTCTAGTCTTATGGTCATGCTCGTCTCTTGTGTAAACTATTCATCATAAAAATACAGTGGTTTTTTGCTAAATTGGAAATTTTTTAGAAAAGTGATAACACGAGATTGCAGACGTTTCTCAACTGGAAGCCATGATAGGCTTCTATGCATAACTCCAATATGAGTGCGCTTCGAACAGTGGAGAGCTAGTCTGGCAGCCTTGTTTTGAGCTATTTGTAATTTCTGTAAATGTGTTTTTGCTGCTGATGACCATATGACCGGACAGTACTCAAGATGTGACAAAACCAGAGACTGAATGACTTGTTTCAAAGTGGTTGGTGTTACATACTTTGTACATTTTCTCGCCACAGCTATGCTCCTTCCCATTTTAGTTACGATACTGTCAATTTGCTTTGTCCACCGTAAACCAGAATCAAGAACAATGCCAAGCAACTTAGTCTCGTTGACCTGTTCCACTGGCTGACCAGCCAGTGTCAGGGTTCATTGAGGCTTGCTGCTTAACATATGTCTGGATCCGAACACCATTGCTTTTGTTTTTGCAATGTTGAGTATCAGTTTGTTATTGTTGACCCAGTCTGCTATGGCTTTAATCTCTATTTTAAGTAGATAGTTTAACTCACTGCATGTTGATGCTGTACTGTACATCGCGGAATCATCAGCATACATTATTACACTGGACTTATTTAATACGTAAGGAAGGTCATTTGTCTTTGGGTCCAGAAAAGCGCTATATAAAATTAATATATTATTATTATTATTATTAATATAGAGTACAACAAAGGCCCAAGCGAACTCCCCTGTGGGACCCCACACTGCAACACCTTACTTTCAGAAAAGCTCCCATTGAAAAACACTCGCTGCCTTCTCCTAGTCAGGAAGCTCTCCATGACAGGCAGGCAAATGCTTCCCAGCCGGATTCACACCCGGGTCCTCCGCTTAGGGACCAAGCCCCCGGTACATGGGCTGCTAACTCTACCAATTGAGCTATGCGCTGGTCCACACCATAATATACCTATTTTCATTGTTATCATATTGTAACCTTTCAAATACTTAAAATAAACCCACATAAACACTTATGTTTTGTCGTGCATTTGTGTGTTGTTCTTCTTGCTTTGTCTTTCACCGCTTAAGGAAAACGTTTAACACATTTGACTAAATTGACGCTTTCAAACTAATGCAGCATGGCATGTGGACAAGAATTTAGATGATTCTTTTTTTTTTTAAATCAATCTCTTATAACAAATTTCAGTTGGACTTATTCTTTCTTTAAAATCATTGCATTCAAACACCTAATTCCATGTTAAATTGTAGAAAAAGGGATCCAAATCCAAGACTGCATCCATATAACATGGGATTATTTTAGTAATCTAAATGTGTAAAAGTGTATTTGCAAAATGACAGAAATTACTCTCCATGGAGAAAGTCTTGGATTGTTGTAGATTGGAACCTGTGTGTGTGTGTGTGTGTGTGTGTGTGTGTGTGTGTGTGTGTGTGTGTGTGTGTGTGTGTGTGTGTGTGTGTGTGTGTGTGTGTGTGTGTGTGTGTGTGTGTGTGTGTGTGTGTGTGTGTGTGTGTGTGTGTGTGTGTGTGTGTGTGTTGGTTTTAGTCACTCCAACACTTGTGTGTCAATGCGCCACTAAATGCACGGACGTACAGCTTGTGTGTAGGTGTTTGTGTAGTAGTAAGAAAGAGTTTACTGGTAGCAAGCATACACTCGTGGTTGAGCCTGTACAGTATAAGGCAATTTCTACAACTGAAAGAGTGTTTGGGATCCCAGGAGGATGCCATACGCTAGTGGCAAAAGAAAAGCATTTACCTGCATCGTTGACAATGATTGAGGCAGCTCCTGTGGCTGCATCAGATGCTTGCCCGACAAAGTCTGAGACAGAGGGAAAATACGAAAGGTGAATAACAGAGTTTGAAAGTATCCATTATTTGTGTTTCATAAAACACACTTGTCACCATAGTAACTTCTATAATTGCTTGGAATTCCTTTGGTTCTGTCTACGAAGAGACAGGCCACAAACATCTGGAGTCTGATATGAGCAACTTTTGAAAAGCAACTTTATTTTAAACAAATTCCAATTGGTTACCCACCATTGGACATAACAATAGAGAAATCTCCCAGTAAATCCAAAAGCATGAGCAACTAAACAGAACTGACAAAATACAGGCAAAAAATAATCGCTCTGACCGTGAACTTCTTACCATGCAACATGGAAATGGCAACCAATTTGGCAGCAGTAATGCAAGAAAAAAAACGTACCTGTGTTTACACCATAGTCTTTGAAATTCTGAATGTAATTGTCTCCAAAGAAGTCTTTACCAACCTAGAAAAGATGGAAAGCAAAACGATTTCAACAAAGAGAGTGTAAAGCGGGGTCAGACTTGGTTAGCGGCAACTTTTGAAAAGTGGTATAGTCAAACCTCAGTTGGGTTGGATTTTCGTGTGCCCTGCCAGCATACTGGCATGGTGCCGCCGCCGAAAATGTGTAAAAACTAACACACAAAGTCAAGAAATGCACACACGCGAAAACACACGACCAGCTGCGCCAAGCCTCGAAGACACGATAACCCCGCCTTCACGCCTCTTCATACCCACCTCACGTTCGTTTTCCTTCCCTCCTTCCCCTCTTCCCCTGCTCCGCATTGGGATGTCCACATCTGTAGCTACTTTGGGTTGTGGAAGGGGTCCCCACCTTGCCCCGAGGCGCCTACTTCGAACCCACGCTTTCCAAAAAATGTGCCAAAACGAGGGCACTTCTAGCTGCCTGTGATAATGGGTTGGGCTGGTATTGGCTGCTTGGCCCCAATCTCTTTGAAGAGTGGCCTTACGGCTTGGATGTTTTTGACAAGCCCGGGTGTCTATTTTTGGGTTCTCCCCATGCCCGGAGAGCTCCTCCCGCACTGGGTTGTTATCGATCGGCCTCTTTGTTCTGACAGAGGTGGGGCTTCGGTGCTTTAGTGCGCGGGTTGAAAGGCCACGCTGAGCGTACTGATTGGAGACTCTGGGTTGTATGGTATGGGAATAGGCTTGTTTGAAGGCGTGCAAGTGTGGGTGGGCGTATGCATGCGGTATAGTATTGATCAAGAGAAAATGAGGCATGGAGAGTTGATGAAATGAATGAAGTGTGAACGAAGCTGCAATGTTTTGGGGAATTGTTAACTAGTTGGCGGACTATGGTAGCTGTGTTTGTACTGAGTTGGATGTAGATGAAACAAAAGTTGGACAAGCAAATCAACTTTTTTTTCCAAAATGCACACATTAATGCTTGGAACCAAATGTGCACATATAATGTAAATCACAGCAACAGTGTATTTCTGCAAACTTGATTTCAGTGTCATACCTTGCAGACCATTGCGGTTTTGGCTCCCAGTCTTGCAGCCTGTATGCACTGGTTGGCCCCCTTCCCTCCAAAGCCAATGAAGAACTTGTGACCATGGATGGTTTCCCCAGCTTTTGGTAGTCTTGGTGCCTGGCTGAGGTAAAAAAAAATAAACAGGTAATTAGCACCATTTTATGGAGTTCACCTCCATTCAAAAGAACCTCAAAGGATTTAGAGGATGTAAGAGTATTCTACCTAAAAACATGCTTTGGCTGGATTTTGCAGTCCTAATTAGATTTTTCATCTCAACAGTCTCTTCACACTACAACTAAAAGTTTGAAAATGTTCCTTCAAACTATGAAAAATGTGTTATTTGGCAGTGTGAGCGTTCTACATTGAAACCAAGAAGTAAAGGGAGATGTCAAAATGTGAAGATAAACCTTCAGGGCCAAATCTTTTCCTGGTTGAGCTCTTTATTTATCACTGGAAGACAATAGGTCTCTGTTGAGTCTGCTGAGGATTACATCTTTTGGTCTTGGGAAGGGCTTTCACAAAAAAGGTCAACAAAGTGCAATCTTTGCCAGAATCAATGGAGCATTGGAACCCCACTCCCTAACACCCCTTTTTACATACTTAAACTCAAAAGCAGCAATAAAACCTAATGTGGAGTTTGCTATTGGCTCATCATTGTTAAAGTCATTCTCAATATTTTACTGAATATGTGTCCATGCAAGTTTCTCAATTTGTGCAAATGATGCAACAAGCAAAAACCATAGATGTCTCAACTTGATGTTGGCTGCACTAGTAATCTGTGACTCATCAGGGTTGGGTAAATTCCCGCCCTCCCCCTCGAGGTTGATATGCCACAGGTGGCTGCCCTCAGGAGGAGCTGTCTGTTCCCTGATTTCTCCAGTCACAGAGCCAGAATGAGTGGTGAGTAACATGGAGTAGAGACAACAGACCACTTCATATTGTACGTCAGAATGCTGTGGTCTGGCTTCGGGCAATCCTGGCCCGGGGCCAAAGGGTTTGCGGGTGGCAAAATGTTGTCATAGACTTGTTTTCCCCCTGTTGTTGCTCTTTCTCATACTGCGAGTGTGTTTGTGGCAGGTGTGCTGTTACAGTAAGCTCACTCTATCCCAGGATTTTCAGTAACTGAGACGCTGGTGGCAAACACTGGAGGCGGCAATAAATGCTGCTGTTTTTGCACACCGGCGTGTGAAAACACTAAAGTGCCCAAAGCTATAACAGGATGTAGGGTCAATGAGACTGAAATGTGGTGAGAAGGAAACGGAACAAAGGTTGAACACATGTAAACACACACACACACACACACACACACACACACACACACACACACACACACACACACACACGTATTGTTATTGAATATGTAGAATAGGTAGGAAGCCGTTTAATAATAATAATTTCCCACATGTGTCAAAGCTGTTTCTCTTGGTGAGAAATAAATCCTTGCACATGGACTCCCATATGTACATTAATACAAATATTGTGTTTTTTGGGAAAAACTGTTTCACATCGTTCATTCAGGTCTTTTATATTGAAAAAAGAGACACTAACACCACTGTCATATCTGTAGGCTACGCTAAATATGACAATCGCTAGAAACCGGTTAGCTTTTCTCAACACCAAAACAACTAGCCTAGCTGTCATCCCCTTTGGCTAAGCTAATTGCCTCTTATGGTGGTTTTCTATTTTGGCATACAGATATGGCTTTTGGAAGAAAAAGCATATAAAACATTTCCTGGAATTGTTTTGTGCTAAGCTAAAAAACAGAAATACATATGCTAAGCTAAAATTAGCCTTGCTAACTGTGGCTCTAACTTATGCTAGACAATGCATCCATCTTCTTATGTAACTCTCTGCAAAAAGCAACTACAGTAAGTGCATTTCCTAAAATGGCAAACAAATAATAATTTGTATTTCGTTGAATTTTTACAACAGTGGTACTAAACATTTCAATTAGAACTTAGGTTTTCTGTTACAAGGATTGCCCTCATAGTGGCAAACGTATTGAGTCAAGAAGATGATGACATACATGTATGGTGGAATGTATCTCTACATTATCTATTAGTTTATTTCATTTTCTTTTGTCTTTAATCATTTTTTAAGTGGAGTGCACAATGCTAGTAAACTAAATGATAGCAAGGGCATTTCACGTGTAGAGACTTGAGTGATTATCATGTAAGAAGAAGCATGTATCTGTGTCCGCCATAGTCACTAACAAATGTTCTGCCTTCCCATACGTTGACGTGTTCATGGCTTGAGATTTTCATACAATAGTGATGAATAATGAGCACAACCGCAACATTATCAATATAACATTTGGCCGTCAGCCACTTTAAGGCGGATAACTGGAAGGTAAGATAAACAGATTTCCAAATTCTTAAATAAACCCACCTACGCCTCTTCATGCCAAAGAGACACTTGGCTATTGTTGTCTGTGGTGAGTGCACCAAACAAACAGGGCAGTTATGTGCTAAAGTGCAACCTCGGTGCGTTTTCTCCCATGGAACCAAAAGGCCAGAGCAGGTGTTCAGTGACGTGAAGTGTTTGCTTTGAGGCTGGCTCTCATTTCCCTCTCCTCCGTCTCTATTAGAGTCATTCCTCAGCTGTTGGTGAGCAACATGGGGAAGCAGACTTGGACAAAAAAAATTGAAATGCTGTTTTTGTCGAAAAACACAACCTCCAACGTGAACTAGCTTTTGGCAAAATAATAAATATTAAAAGATTTTGCTTTTGCTTGTAAAAATGTCATATAATTACGACAATAAATAAGGATACTACATGGTTGTATTGCTCACAGAATCTTTTTTAATCAGTGTGTTAACCTTCAGCTCTTGGTGTGCCTCAGCTTTTTGAGCCGATTAATGCACCACTCAGAAAATATATTTTTGTTCACATTTTGTGAAAGTTTCCTTGTCCACAAAAGTCCCTATAGCAGAAGCTCCGGTAAATCAGGACAAGGTGAAGAGACCTAACAAAGAACAGGTTTAGCAAAGACAGCATACCTTACATGGGCATGGTGAGCTGCTTCCCTCACAAGAGGTGCAGTGTCGGAGTAGGACGTGGGCGTTTATTTTTGTGTGGTCAGACCATTTGTTGAAGCCACGTCCATGTTGCTATTATTCACTCAGAAATGGCCTATATCAGTGGATATAATAAGCCACTTATCAACCCATTCTGTCTCTGAATTGAATACTTCAAAACCTTTTAAATTAATATTTTTTACAATTACATTAAAGGTTGGCAGACATATCACGGACACAGCTTATGGAATAGAACAATTCTACTGTAGATTAAATACTACAAAGTTAATATTTTATGATTGAGTTCACTCAATATGTATTAATTTTCAAAACTGATTTTTTAATATCTTTAATTAAAATGATGTTGCACAAAACTTTAAAATGAGGTTAAAATTAAAATAATACATTGTAATACTTCTCCTTAAATGTCAGTTTACTTTTTTTCTCTAACCTTAGATTAAATGAAATGCTGTTGCACAAAAAATGAACAGTTTAAAGTTAAATTGTGATCCAGTGTTTCCTTTAGAATTACAGTTCAGGAGATCTCACTTTAATGTACTAATTAATGTATTTTCTTAATTTCTGCCAGTTGGTGCCAGGCTGTCTCTTCTTCCTTACTCTGTTGCTGTTTTGTCTATTACTTTTTGGCATTTTGCTAAATTAATTGTGGCCAACCATATTTTCTCAAAGTAGTAGCTGTTTAATGAAATCACAGGGACAGATACAGGAAGACATTCCTGCCTACTGCAATAACTGTGCAGCGAATCACCTCTGGCTGGCAGAGAACTCACAGCTCGATAGTTTCTCTTTTGTTAACTGGATTAATATCTTCACACTGTAAATGTTACATTTATATTTAATTGAATATGCCATTCCTTGCACACTTAATAAATAACTAAATAATATCCTACTTTATATTGTGTTAGCTGTAAATTGGCCCTTCAATAGTGTTTTATTTTTCAGAAAGTTTACAGATTTTTATCTTCATGGTGAAAATTATTTGTAACTTTTTACTTCTGTTTTATATAATCTTATTTTCTATTTTGAAATGTGTAACGAAAACCTTTCCCAATTTGGGATCAATACAGTACATCTTATCTTATCTTTACTTATTTTAAACTTAGTTTTGCTAAACTCTGATAAGAATTGTGCTCGGATTAAATGTAACATTGTTACCTGTATTCCACATTTTTGCAAACACTGTCCCACAACCTGTCCCTGAGTAAAAAGGAGGAAGAATACTGTTATTTTGTCTTATTTTTAACCAGTCTATTTGTTGTAATTTGTGCAGATAAATTCATTACAAACCACATTTGAATAAAGGTGTGTTTACTATGCTTTGGTGGGAACACGGTTGTGGTACATTGTGGTTCTGCCTAACCATTTGGGAAACTCAGATTCCAGTGAGCAGGTGATAAGCGCCTCCACTCAGTAGACTGAGGCAGTAGGGGGCACTGTATGGCTTTGACAATGGGTTTAAAGCACGAGAAGCCCTGCTGTTCCTCCTCTTTGTGCACTGCAGACAGTAGACCTATACAACATAACATTTTACTATAGCTGTAAAAAACAAGGATAGTATACTCTTGCTTGGCACACTTATAACAAAGCACCATAGAGATCTGAGTGTGTTCAGATGGCAAGACCGAAGAGTGTGTGCCCCCGCTGTCTGCCACTCAATTGTGCTGCCACCCAAACACTGGCTGCGAAAGACAACTGGATTGCTAACTTCAAAGCCATGCATATCACTTTGAAGGGCTGCAAATGTATTCCAACTACCCCCTCCCTATCTGACCCCCATCCAAAAAAAACAACCCCACACACACACGCTCCAAAAACAGGCCATTTCCTGTTAGCTTATTAAGGGTCTTAATTGACAATGCCTGCCCTTCAAAGCAGAAAGTCACTGTTTGAATTGCTAACGAGCAACACAATAAATCCAAAAACCTCAGTAGGAGAAGGCATATGTTTTTCATAAGTTGGAACTTGTGAGTGACAACAAAAATGTGATAACTTGCACTCGCTAGAATGTCGAGAAACTTTTTCTGCCACTGGCACAAGTTGTGGTTGTTTATTTAGATCTCCACTTGCTGGCAGCTAGGTGACAGTTCTTTTTCCAGAGTTTCATATACAAATATAAATATAATACAAGCTGTGTGACAAAACTGCCACACACGCTGACAGGAATACAGCTCGATGGCTGAAGCCCATGAAGACGTGACATTACACCGTATTTGCTTTAAATGCTTCTTTTGAGATTGTGTCATTCCTCACAAAGGTCATGGTAAATGAGGATGACAAATTATTTTCTAACTAACCCATTGTGCTGGAGTTGATGACTAATGATTTGTGGGAATGGATGCTACTTGGCTCAACAAATCTCACCACGTATGAGGATGATGCAACACTGACATTTCGGTAAGCAGCAATTATACCAGATCTTCTGCACACTCTCTGAAAGTGGAGTCAGATATACCATGGGATGGGCACACCTACATCAGCTGTCAATGACTTAATCAATGATTTGGTATTTGTACAGCAATAACAACCTGCTGCAGATCAGTGGATGTTTTAGAACAGCAGCTCATGTGTGTAAAGGAAGCTGAAGTATATGGAAATGCACCAACCCATCCCTATTTAACGAGAAGTCTGCTCACTATCATTGCCTAATGGCCTAAAAGCTGTTTGCCACACTCTTAAACCAGGGATTTTCCTTACATTATTATGGCGTTAAGGACAAGTATTAAAAAGCCAGAGACATTATCTAATTTTGGACAACTTCCTCTATTCTTGAGCAGACAGGAGGGTGCAGTCCATTTCAAACCATGATGGAAAATACCCTCGAGCCTTTATGCCATATTTTCCACATGCCTGCAAGTCACCAAAGGAAAATGGCTGTTGTGGTTTATAATAATAATTATAATAATAATAAAGGGAAAGATGTTCAAACAGAGACACTTGACCGTTTGGTCAGCCACACCCACTAAATGACTGATAATATGCCTGTCGAGTTCATGAGCAAACACAAACATAGTGCAGTTTGCATTGATAACGAGAGAAGATTTTCTGCTAGAATTTCGTAGTTATTTTTGAAGCAAAGGCTTTTTTGAATTCAGACAGTTGTACTCAAAGCCAGACTTTCTAGCAGTAACTGTACATTTTGCTTTATGAAATGATGACTTCGGAATTATTTCTCAGCTGTAATTACATGAGTGTCACATGACTTTGTTTGATTTTTGCCTGCTGACTTTCAATGGCAAACTCAGGGTTTGAAAAAGTTAAGCCAATGCAACAGGGGTTGATTCCACTGGTCTTAAAAAGATGACCAAGTGTAAAGAAGTCAATGAGAAAATGACCTTACTTCTCATCCCTTTATACCATCTTTCATAACTTTTCCTAATGAGTTTTTGTTCCCAATTGCTAGTTTATAGTCTTTTTCAATAGAGCATGATGTTCATCTTGCAAATTATGGTCCCATTTAGAATCAAATTGTAGAGCAGAGTATGAGGGCGTGGCTACCCTGTGAAAGACAGGTCATGTTGATGTCTGGTTTTTGTTCTCTCCGTGTTTTTGTTGTTAGTTGTTTCAACTTCTTCACAGTGTATTTTCATTTCATCCACTTCTGGTCCCAAAAAAAGATGGCCCCCAAAATGCCAACTAATTTACATCTCTTATTTACAGTCCATAGCTGACTCATGTAAAACAGGAACCTAGTACAAGGTGGTTACTACTGTACGTATAAGATGGAAAGATAAAGATATCATTGGTGACATTGGCAGCTACCAATGTTCTGAAGAGGGATTTTCCAACGAAATACATAAATCATTGTCAGCATATTGGAATTAGTATATGTGTGATTTGGTGAAAGAGAAACATCTTGTAGTTCAATTGAAATTCCTTGGGGAACTTTTTTGTTGTTGTAACTACTCTTGCCAAAGCTTTAAAAAAAAAATCAACTTTTTTGTGTACATTTTCATTATTTAAAAACATATTAAACAAATCAGTGTTGAAATCTTCATACAAAGCAAAACCACATGGATCCAGACCAAAAGGGTAAGAAACATTTTAAAATAATCCTAATATGATCATGAACAGTTGCCCAATGTCCTGCTTCCTGTTGGGCCCACCTGAGGAAGCACAGGAGTTTCCTGAACCCATATTTAGACAAAGATGTTGTACTCAGAGCGTTCTCATAAAACATAAGGGTAATTAATGGTCATTTGTAGACAAACACAAAGTTTAGTATGGGCTAAATGAACTCACCTCACCAAGTCAGTCATACAGGAGCCAACCACCATCACATCAAACCTCTCTTCAGTCATGATCTGATTAGGAAACAAATTGGTGTTATTAATAAAGTAACAACACTCATTTCCAGACATAATATATGGTAAATAATCTTCATTTAAATTCTCAACATTTGTCCAGCCTTTCCTATCAAATATTTTGAGAAACGAGGACAAAATCTAAAGCACAGCAGACTCCTTGGGGGCATATCAGGCAAAATATGTAAACTAGTTTCCCCACCAGCCTCCAAACAAAAATCACTTGATATTCTTTATCTCCCACATTAGCATGAGCTTGACTGAAATGAGAAAGAAGGTAAAAATAGAGCATTCATCGCTGGCTGAGTTGGATAGGTTCCAATCTTATTGGGGGTGGAATGGAGGGGTATTTCAATGCTACACCATGTGAATGCACTGCAGCCCAGCGAATTCTATAATTAATTCAATCCCCGGCTTGTATCTGAGCTAATGCTAGTGTGTTAATCTCTTCAAATCTCTGCCTAGGCAGTGGAAGACTTGGAAAGCCTGGCCGCTGGCTGCAGGATGGCTCAATTCTATCTCCCACAACTCAAAGCATATTGTCTTCCTTGGGCAGGCATGAAAAGCTAACCTCCACATCTCCACTGCAGGAGAATATTTTATGAGATCTGCATTGTCCAACCACTTTAAATAGCACTGAACCATTTTAAAATGGTCCATCGCTTCTTGAGTTCAAGGCAAAGTTATCATGGAGTTGACCAACCTGAATTAGTGTTCAGGTTGGTGCATCTAAATCAGGGGTGTCCAAACTTTTTTCTCCGAGGGCCAAATACAGAAAGATATACGAAGGGCTGGGCCACTCACTAGGTTTATTGCCTCATAAGTTAAGTTATAAGTGCCATCACTGTAGACAAAGTTAGCCAAATCAATCAAATATAGGTAAGTTCTTCTTGATACTTGAAAATGCTTTAAGAAAAAAACAGCGTATACATCACAGCTCTCCAGAGGGTTTCATTTATTTTGTTAGCAGCTCATTCCTTAAAACAGATAGATTTCAAGCTTGTTTTGTAAATAAGTTATTGTTTCAACTAAGATTTGTTTACAAATGTTTCCAACTTTAATTGATTGAATTTATTTGAAAGGTGGGCATGCCATGAATACCGTGATATATATGTTTACATATATATTTAAGTAGTACAATATATGACAAGTTTAATTTGTGGCCCATATTTCATTATACTATTTGAATCAGCTGGGGGCCGTTTCAAAGTGGCCTGTGGGCCGCATTTGGCCCCCGGGACGTAGTTTGGACACCCCTGATCTAAATGAACATGAATGAATGACTGAAAAGTAAAGATTCCCTATTGTGCTTTTTTGGGGTTTTCCCTTTCCTGTAGTGTGTTATTTAGGTTTTAGTCATGGTTTTAGTGCATGTCAATGGTCTGCAAAGTCTAAAATCCCCCGATTGGACTCCTTTGTTCACTTTGTAACATAGTGATCACTATGCAAAACTCAAGCTTCTATTGGAAAGTGTTCCAACACATTGTGGGACATATCTAAGCGGTTGACCAATCACAACAGAGCTGGCCAGCTAACCAATCGGAGCAAGCTGGGCTCTGGTTTCAGACAGAGGGTGAAAAAAGGTGCTGCAGCACAGACAGTATGAGAAAAATAAAGAGCTTTTTGAATATTAAAGCATGGAGACATGTCATAGTGGAGGCACTAAATAAAAATATGAACCTTAAAATGAGCAGAATATGTTCCTTTAAAGCTAATACTTTGGGAAATTAACTTATCAAAGCATGCTCTCAAAAGGCTGCAGTCATGTGTGAAACTACTTTGTCTAAAGTAGTTTCAAACATGAAACTACTTTAGACAAAGTAGTTTCCACACAATGGGTAAAACAATTAAGACTGAGTTATAATCAAAAACCCAGAGGAAAATTAAAAAAACATTGTTGGAACCATTTAAAAAACAACAAAAAACTACTTGTTTTGCCTATGTCTTCGCCGGCAGTCAATACATTGAAAGTTAAGAGAATGGCTATAATCACAGAAAAACATATTATTTGACCCCTATCCCACCAAACACAAACACGCTTTGTTTGCAAAAGCTCTTTTATATTATTCAGTGTTGTAGTGGACTCTAAGGACATAATTCATCATTGTCTGTGGTTAAACACAAGCAATCATCTTGTGTGCCTTTTCTGTGATGTTTTACCTTCACACTAACACAGTAAGAGTGTGAAGTAAGTGTTAAGAGTAAAACATTTCAAATTATTTTCTGTCGTTTTAGCTACAGCATCAAATGTAAGAATGTTAAAAAAAACAACTGTTGAAGAATGTTGAACTGCTAAGACAACCCTAATGCCATCTAATCAGGTACTGAACATCACTAAAGATTGGGCGATAACCAACTAGGGCTAACAATAATAATTAAATATGATCATTGATGGTCTTTCAATGGAATCATATTATGAGGAAATTATATATCTGGATAACATGAAACACAACAACCTCATCTCCATGACCTAACAGCCGCATTTGACACGATCAACCATTCCATTCTCATCAACCGCCTCCAGTCTTCCATTGGCATTACCGGTACTGCCCTCTCCTGGTTTAAATCCTATCTCTCTGACAGACATCAATTCATCTCCATTAACAACTCCAAATCCCCCACAGCCCCCGTCAATCATGGCATCCCTCAGGGTTCTGTACTTGGTCCCCTTCTGTTCATCATCTACATCCTCTCAATTGGACAAATCCTCCGTCAACACCAACTCCAGTTCCACTGTTATGCTGATGACACACAGCTCTACCTCTCAACAAAATCAATTTCTCCAACCACACACTCCCAGCTCAGCACCTGCCTCACTGACATTAAAATGTGGATGCAAAACAATTTTCTAAAACTTAACTGTGACAAATCGGAACTTATAATCATTGGCCCACACTCACTTATCCGCTCAACCCAAGATTTTTCTCTTACCATCGATGGCTCCATTGTCAACCCCTCCACTCACATCCGTAACCTTGGCATCATCCTTGACCCCGCCCTCACTTTCCTCCCTCACGTCAACCAGGTCACAAAAAAGGCTTTCTTCCATCTAAAGAACATCGCCCGCATCAGACCCTCCCTCTCTTCGACCACTGCTGAAACTCTGATCCATGCCTTTATAACATCCCGACTGGATTACTACAACAGCATTATTCATACTAAAACAACTTCAATATGTCCAAAACTCAGCTGCCCGCTTGCTCACCTCCATCCGACGCTCCGACCACATCACCCCTATCCTCCATGACCTCCACTGGCTCCCCATCAAACACCCCCCTACCTCTGTGACCTCATCCGACGACACACCCCCACCCATCGCCTCAGGTCTACTGAAGCTAACCTACTGCAGCCCATCAGGACAAAGCTCCGGACCTGGGGTGACAGGGCCTTCGCAGCAGCCTCCCCCACACTCTGGAACTCCCTCCCCAGCCACGTCAGATCCGCCAACACTCTCACACCATTCAAACAATCCTTCAAAACTCATCTTTTCACTCTTGCCTTCAACTCCTAATCAACTAACCACTTGCCCTTATTCCACCTAGCTTAGCACTTTCTACTTTTGTTGTTATTTTTGTTTTACTTGCTTGTAAGCGCTTTGAGCACCAGGAAAAGCGCTTTATAAATGTAATGTATTATTATTATAATAGCAAGCACATTCTTTCGAAAATCCAATGTAAAATATTTTGAGAGAATATAATTTAAAGATTGCAGTTTTATTTTGTCAGAACGTGTAAGGTCCATATATAACCCACATTTTAGTTAAAACAGGAGAGTAAATGCACTTAGTTACATTACACCACTTTGCTTATTATGTTGTGCATATACATTATTTCTGTGCAGGCTCTGTTAAAGATAAGCGTGACAATCACGACTATTTTACAGTAGCCTACAATTAGAAATATTAAGATTATTTTAAAGCACCTAAATTACGTGTGTGTTCAACTCTGGAATTAGATGAAGACTGAGTGGGATATCGCCATTAGAATATATACTATATATTATAATATAAACTTGTGCAGAAATTACCTTTCATTCAAATGTGCTCTTGGCTTCTTGCAGAGTTGAGAACTGAACACAACACCCCGCAACAGAAAAGAGACAGTCAAAGTGCATAATGACAGCTGGGAACGTTATAGCTATTGCCTGGCCCAATATTGTCACTTTATTAGTGCATGCGCATTTTGTGTCGTCTAGAATGTATTACGTATAAATATGGAAAACCAAAAATAGTAAATGAGTTATATGTTACCGCAGAATTTGGTCTAGGGAGTAAAAACACTATTTTTGTCAACAGGCATTATAACAGACGGCTAAGTGGGGGGCAATCAAAAGGACCCTAACAACATGTACCGGAAATGTTAAGTGCATGAAGTAAACATTAGAGTTAATGCTTAAATGATCTGACTTCCAGCTCTTTCAGGTACTCTTACCTACACCGCATGTTGTATCAACATTAACAATAATAGATAGATTATTTTTTAGAGTAAGCTAGTTGTTCAAAGTGTAGCAAACTGAAGTTCCGTTCTGTGGTAAGCTAACAAGCTAACGATAGCAAGCTTACGAACATATACACTGACATAAAATGTAGAGTACAGACTAATATCCCCCGAGATACTGAGTGTACTAGTTTACCACAACCAACGTGTACAACATAAGCTTGATACTAACTCTATTTTATTTGTATTTTGTCATTCATTGTGGCCTGTCTACATTATAGTGAGGGAAAAGGGGTTGGTAGTGTCATAGCTAACATTGTACAATGGCCCTAAACGTTACTTTGGTTGTATCTTAACTATCTAACACCCAGGAGTTGAATAAACATCTGCCTATTTTGAGCTAGAAAGTTACAAATCAGAAAATAACAGGAAGCTGTTTCTGACTGGCATACAAACATTCCCTTGACACCCGGATATGACAGCTGAAAAGATGTTGAATAATGTTATATAATGTCTTTTGACACTGTCATGTAATGTGTTTTATTGCTCTGAATGCTGTTGTTGTTTACCTGATTTGTGTTATACTTTCTCTTCATTTAATTCTCTCAATATTTTATTCCATTCTATTTCTATGTAAATACTGCTATATTTTATTATATTTGTTAGTGTTATTATTATAGTTTTCTTAAAATAGTTCTCTATCTGTGTTTTTAATTTTTGTTTTACTTGTATGTATGCACCATGACATCAATTAAAATTCCTCGTGCGTGTCAACCTACCTGGTAATAAACCGGTTCTGATTCTGATTCAAGAAGAATACAAATGAAAATAACAATGTATGTGGTGTACATTAGCTCATGTCATTTGAATCTCCAGTACAAATACATGCTTGTTCCTAGTACATTACATTGCATTTAGCTGACGCTTTTATCCAAAGCACAATAAGTGCGTTCGACCAACAGAATACAAACTTGAAGAAAACAGAATCATATAAGTACATCAGGTTTCATAGAGCAAAAACATTTCAAGTGCTACTCAACTGGCTTTAGGTAAGCCAGTCCTTTATTAGTATATAAGTGCTTTGTTAATAGTTCTATCGCTCGAAGTGGAGTCGAAAGACATGAGTTTTCAGTCTGCGCCGGAAGGTGTGCAAGCTATCTGCTGTCCTGATGTCAATGGGGAGCTCATTCCACCATCTTGGAGCCAGGATAGCAAACCCACGTGTTTTTGCTGATGGGAACTTGGGTCCCCCTCGCAGCGAGGGTGCAGCGAGCCGTTTGGCTGATGCAGAGCGGAGTGCACGTGCTGGGGTGTAAAATGCTGTTTTTATAAATAACATAAAAGCTTTTCTGTATATTGTATCTCCACAGACTCATCACTCAGAGTGGATACAATGAACGACATCTCCCCTGAGGCGGCCCTTCACAGGATCTCCCCTGAGCTGCGGCCCTTGCTGTGCAGCGTTGTGAGGAACGGCCGTGTGGGACTGGACTCCACAAACTGTCTCCGAGTCACAGACCTCAAAACTGGGTGAGAAACGCTTTTGAAGTTCGTCATGTGGAACTCAGCGGTTCCATTAGTACATGTTTCTCTGCAGTGATTTGGCCTTTGAATTATATGAGAAAGATTGGTGGAATATAGGGGAAACCCTGTAAGCATGATATTATATTTGTGTAGTATTTGTATACACATAATGAGTCAAGACTACAGTGTACCCAGTCAGAACTATAGTGGAGTTTGGATATTGGAGTAACTGGTACTTGCAGTATTTTTGCTAAATAGTAAGTCGTTTTTGCCACCTTAAGCACTGCAGGCACTGTTCCATCGAGTTCCATTATATTGGAGAGAAGCAGACATTTCTACAGACAATAGCTCCAACGCTCAACAATTTACAAGAACAAATTATCTAGAGAAATAGCACTACAAGTCTGAGGAGGACAAAATATGTATTTTTATTTTTGGGAGAACTGTCCCTTGTACAAATGACAGGCTAATGTCAAATATATTAAATCCTTGTTGTGTGAGTCAAAAGGCCTCAAAGTGACAGAGTAGTGATTTGGTATCAGAAAGACAACAATATGAAGTGTGCAGAATTAGGTTTAATCAGTGTTAGTCATTACATTTACTCAAGTACCATACTATTTTGAGATAACAGTACTTTCTGCCCTTGCTACATTATACTTCCACTCAATACATTTTCATGTAACATGTATATTCCAATATAAAAAACACATGATATACTTACTGTATGATAAGATATGGTACTGCACAATAAATGCACCTGTTTAAAATAATAAATAATGTTTATGTATTAAAAACAGGTTAATATAGTAGCCTACTTTATAATAACATAATATGGTGAAAAAAAGCCATTGTGCATAGTGAATACTTTTAAAGACCATAGTATTTGTACTTTTCTTTAAGTCAAAAAGAACCTTTCTGATTCTCACTGTATTGTGTTCTCAGGCTAGTAGACTGAACATGTATTTGGTTGTTTCCATGTTCAGATGTATATCTCTGACCCCCGGTCCCTGCTGTGATCGCTTCAAACTTCACATCCCCTACGCTGGAGAAACGCTGAAATGTAAGTAAATGATTCATCTCCTAACAGTTGAGTGTCAGTTTGAAGAGTCAATAACATTAATTGGGTCTTACGTTGATGAGTTGTTGTAGTTTGGCAACACTTTTTTGGAAGCAAATGAAACAAATATTATTAGGAACCATTGCTTTGCCTTATCACTTCACCAAGAAGCAGTCAACTAAGCTAGGGCTCAGCCAAGGCTTGAATCAGGCTCGTCTGTTCATCTGTATTTTAATGTATTCCTAGATTGATTTGTTTTGTTGCTGATTGAACAATTCAAACAGCGACTGCAAAAGTCCATTTTGATTAAATTCCTTTTTTTGTGCACTAAATTGTAAGTGCCCACATCATTTCAATTTGCAGGCTTCCCTCTTTGCTCATGTTAGTTAATTAGTCGCCTACAACAATGGGTCTGCACTAAAAAAGAAACATTTGTGTTAAATAAATGTAATTTCAGCTGAATAATAACAACACATATTCAGGACACTTCAGGGGAACCTTTTGTTCCTTTCCTGTAGTGTGTTATAGGTTTATGTGCATGTTAATGGTCTGCAAAGGCTAACATCTCAAATGTATGAAAATAAATGGGCATGTTTTAAAAAACTAATACGGAACAGAGGCTTAATGAAAACAGCGGACATAGTCTGGCAGGTATTTTGGTCGACTATTAACATGTTGACAATTAAAATACCCTGTACACATTGGTAGGACTGTAACAAAATGCATGATTAACCAAACAGCACTGTGGGAATGTTTTGTAATTGAAGTTTTAAAGGCGAGACCAAAAGCACCCACAGGAATTCTTTCAGTGCGAAAACAAGATGAACATTTGTTGTGATTAAGGAGGTGTTCAATCAGTGAGAGGAGGGCAGTAAACATGCTGTCGTTGATGCAACTGAACCTTTACTGGAAGGGTCTCCCCCTTCTGAATCACTCCCCACATCACAGACTTTCCTGTGTGAGCATGCGCTCAGTGATTATAAACATGACTCAAAAGCTTCATGAGATAACTGTCAAAGCGACTCAACAGATGCATACAACGCTCGTTAAATACCCAGTTATCAAAATGAATGCATCCATTATTTTACACATTTTCATTCAACAGAGCTCAAGGCAGGGTCTTTCACCCATATTGTCACCCACTTCCAAGATACAGTAGCCTTGCCATACATGTTGAAGTGTTTTATTTTGAAACACCTCTAGTTCAGTCAAATGTTCTGTCAATGTCTTATCAAGTTAATCTCAGCTTCCCAGTTGAATTGAATGTTTTTCCCAGGATCTTGTCATTGTTAACCTTTTCCTTATTTAAACAAATACATTACATTTACATTACATGTCACTTGTTAGACGCTTTTATCCAAAGCGAATTACATAATCTCTGAAGAACCAGCACCTTACCGTGGTAGAGAGGTTTGTGTGCCCTGATGAATCTGGGGGCTGTGTTGTCTGGAACCTTGTGTTCCTGGTAGGGTCTCCCATGGCAAATTGGTCTCAGGCAAGGGGCCAGACTAAGATTGGTTCAAAAGACCTTATGAAAGACGACACAGGAAGTGAGGATACCCGGCCCGGAGAAAGCCCGGGGTCCCCTTCTGGAGCCAGGCCCAGAAGGAGGACTCGTCGGCGAGCGTCTGGTGGCCGGGCTTGCCACGGAGCCCGGCCGGGCCCGGCCCGAAAAGGCAACGTGGGCAACACCTCCGCTTCTCCGTCCCGCGGGCCCACCACCTACGGGAAACAGCGATGGGGTCGGGTGCGCTGCCAGAAGGGTGGCAGTGAAAGCGGAGGGTCTCGACGGACCAGACCCGGGCGACAGAAGCTGGCTTTGGGGATGTGGAACGTCACCTCTCTGGGGGGGAAGGAGCCGGAGCTTGTGCGGGAGGTGGAGCGTTACCAGTTGGATCTGGTTGGGCTCACCTCTACGCACAGCGTCGGCTCTGGAACCTTACTTCTGGATAGGGGTTGGACTCTATTCTTCTCCGGAGTTGCTCAAGGTGTGAGGCGCCGGGCGGGTGTGGGGATACTCACAAGTCCCCGGTTGGGTGCTTCGTTGTTGGAGTTTACCCCAGTGGACGAGAGGGTCGC